TGGACTGGAAGGACATAATCGTCACTCCTATACATAAAACAGGACCAAGACAAGTTCCATCGAACTACAGACCTGTAAGCCTCATCAGTTTTGCAGTTAAAATATTGGAAAGAATAGTCGAACGGACCATAATGGAATTTATTGAAACAAATAACTTGTTAAACATAAAACAACGTGGTTTTAGAAAGAGTCTATCCTGTACGACAAACCTCCTTATAGCAAGGGAATATTGGACAAAGGCGTTAGACAACGGAAACTCAGTGGATGTTGTCTACATAGACTTCAGTAAGGCTTTTGATAAGGTGCCAACAAACAGACTGCTATTGAAGTTGGAAAACCTTGGTATTGCTAGACCTCTTTTAAAATAGATTGAGGACTTCCTAGTAGGTCGTAGACAGAAGGTACGAATAAATTCCAAGTGCCCCATCTGAAGACCAGTACTTAGTGGAGTACCGCAAGGTTCCGTCCTAGGTCCTTTATTCTTCATAATGTATGTCAATGATCTTCCAAGTATAGTACAGAAGTCTTCACCCTGTCCTATTGCAGATTAAAAGGAGATCTAATTTTGATGTACAGAATACTGAGAAATGATTTTGGACCTAACTGACTCTCTCTTTTTCTTCACACTAGATCGAGATATCTCAGAGGATATAGCAGGCCAGTAGAAAAGCCAAGAACGAACGAAATACCCGTGGCATACAGGTTTTCACACCAATTCATCAATGCTTGGAACCGGCTGCAAAAAGCAGTGGTGTCCGCGCCTTCAAATGACTCTTTCAAGAGAAGTCTGGACACTCACAGACGCATACTAGAAAAGGAATAACAAAGGCCGTGGGCCTTCTGTCCTTACTATACAAATCTAAATCTGAAATCTGAATCACATCTGAATCTGAAATAAGAAGTTGGATTAAATTCACATTAACCCTTGTTAGAGTGAAATGAAGCCAGGGGTAACATTTAAAAGAATTTAATAAAGAAGAACAATGAAGTATAATGTGCAACAAGTTGGAGTAAGCTCACATAGAGGAAGGGAAGTCTGGGTTGGTAAAAGGAAAGCGGTATATTAGAAGAGAGTATGTATATAGAGGGTGAAGTGTTAAGAATAATATTAACCATGTCTTTTACTGTCCAATTTTTTATTTCCTTTCTTTTTTGTCCATCCGATGCCAGCCACACAATCCTAGTGTAAAAGTCCGAGTTAGCATGTTATAGGTTGTCTTGGTAGAATAGCCAATCCAGTATAAAAATTGAAAACATGAGTCTGAGTGGTGAGCGTAGGAAGACAATCTGTATCACAGTTTGATTGACTTATGCTCAATCATGGAGAGCCTGATACATGCAAAATGTTTTGCCCCACAAACATTGGTGGATTGAAGTCATCGCCCTCACCATCAATGCTTGCTGGTCAGTAACTCCACCCTCCCTCCTTTTGTGTTGTTAGGCTCATTTAAACTTATTTTTGGATACATGTCATACCTCACACAATCCTCTGTTTCACAACCTGTTGGAAAACACTATTTCTATAAGCACCATTTTACAAGTTTATCAGGCATTTACAAATTATGGACTGTGAGTAGGGCATCGATGCAGTGCTTTGATTGACTATAGTATAAAGTATAGTTTGCCAATTAGAGTATAAGCATTAAGAGGGGTGTAATGTATGACAGTTTTTTATTAAAGCGGGCGGAAAAGTATAGAAGTATATGGGTTGTAGATAAGGTAACGAGTGGAGAAATATTATTAATTGCTAGTCAACATAGTGTGCAGAAGAGTAAAAAGCTAATAAGCAATAAACAAGAAGAGACTCACACTAACTTGGTGCTGATGTTATTTTGTGTTGTCCTAAGCAGTTGATGGGTAACAGGCTCCATAGATGCAGGTCGACTGGTAGTAGGCAGTCGATTGTGCGGTTCTCTTGACTTCTTAAGGTGGTAATGAGTGTCCCTTAGCGACTGAGTTTAGTTGAACAGTATCAATAGGTCCAGTGAGTTACCTGTCTACTTTAAGTGAAGAAATAGAGTGGAAAAAGTAGCTTAAACAACTGCGAAGTAAGAAAAATAGGGCAAACTGAACTTGAAGTCCATTTTGGTTTAGATGTGTAGACAGCCTATGATGTCTGAGTGAGGCACAGATGTGTTCGTACCTGCTAGATCAGTGATAGTGAGGGCTTGATGAAGCAGTCTTACAGACGTATGTAATTCATCTGCCATGCGTATTTCGGAAGGAAAACTGTTCCATATTATTGCATACTTGATGAAGGAGAAGTTTGCCCGAGGTTTGATCTGTATTTCTGAACTTTGACCGTAGATACTTTGTTTCAAAGTTCATATTCATGTGAATCTTACATGTTGAATAAGTAAGGTTTATGAGTAGTTTGAAGTAGAGAATCAAATTAGATCTAAGTCTTCTTTTCCAAAGGGGTTCAATTCCTAGGATTTTGCATCTATGTTGAGCTCCAACCTCCAGTGTTTGCACCATTTGTCCACCAAGTTGTGTTCATGTTGGATTGTTTGCATAGTACTACGTACATCGCAAGTGTCGTTTTTATAGATGACTTTTAAGTCATCGGCACAGAGGTAGGTTTTACCTCTGCTAAAGCATTTGCATATGCTGTTGATGTAGATTATAAAGAGCAATGGACCCAAGACACAACACCACTTTTTATTGGTCGAGGTGTAGATGTTGTAGAGTCAATCTTGGTTATTTGGTATCTATTCGTAAGAAAAGACTTGATCCATTGCAAAAGGGGATTTATAATTCCAACTGACTTAAGTCTGCTGATTAGAAGATTATGAAGTACTTTATCGAAAGCTTTCTCAATATCGAAATATAGTATAACAACTAGTTTCTTCTGGTCACGTATGCGAGTTTCAGGTCATCAGTAAAAAGCAATAAGTCTGACGATACCTGTTGTGAAAGATCCTTCATATGAATCAACAAAGGAAGAGGTCCTAGTACCGAACCTTGAGGGACCTCACTACGACATTCTATAGCCCGAGAGAAATTGAAGTTAGTCCCTGACCTTAAAATGTCGATATCTTAGATACGAAGTGAGCCAATCAATTCAAGGTGATTAGATACTTAGTCGTTTGAGCTTATTGATATGACATATATGGTTAACCCTATCAAAAGCCTTTAGAAAGTCAAGATGTAAGACTTTAATCTCTCCTCTGCTATCAAGGATGGTTGTCCAATTGTCCGCCGCAATCAGCAGGTGTGTTATACAAAAATGACTCTCCCTGAAACCGTTCTGTTGGGATGAAAAGAGGTTTAAGGATGTATAAAATGTTAAGAAATTATCTCGAATCCAACATATTCACTTTCGTTTTCCCTACCAGATTGGGACAACTCAGAGGATGCAGCAGGCGAGTAGACAAGCCAAGAACGAACAAAGTACCTGTGGTATACATGTTTTCACATCGAGTCATCAATTCATGGAGCCTGTTACCCGAAGCAGTGATCTCAGAACCTTCAATCGACTCATTCAAGAGAAGACCAGACACTCACAGAAGCATACTAGAAAAATAATAACATAGACCGTAGGTCTTCTATCCTTACTACACAAATCTGAATCCGATATTGGATATAGGACTGACCTTCGCGGAGTTTCAAAAATCGGGCTGATGTCCTCTTTGAATGTTGAATACTTGTAACCGGTTGTTGCTATTGTGTAACTCGATTTATCACTTCTCTACTCTCATCGTTAAATTTCACTACTAATTGTTTAGTTTGGTCAACCGTAATTATTTTCGGGTGTTTATAGAGACAGATCAACGAAGCATATGCTACCTCCACTTAAGTTTCGTCCTAATTAGGTCACTAGTATCTTCATGAACTGGCTTGATTTCTGGTCTGGTTACCCCTTGCACTATCAAGTCCTCCTGTATTATTTTAGGTCCTGTGAGTCAACACGAATTCGGTGTTTCAAAATGCTCAAAGACAAACGTTTGTGAACTCCGGATTTTTATTCATCAATAAACAATGTAGTACATCGATTAACCTGTTTTTAAGATTATTGGCTAAACCTTTTATTCCTATAGCAAGTCAAGTCAAACTTACATCTTACTTACCCTTGATAGGTTTTAGGACATTTTGTAACTATAGTTTGGTAGCATTTATGAGGTTTTAGTGGGTAGTTCATAAAGAACTGATGGGGTCTCGGATAAAATAAGATTACTGAGTAACCGGGTTTGTATTCGGACGTAAAACTAAGTATTGACGCTGGACAGTTAAGCAAGCAACATTCAGCTTTTTCGAGGTGGAAAATGAATGTTAAATATTGTGTTCTTACCCGAGGTGCTCGAATCGTTTAATCTAATCAGGTCGTAAGACCGATAAGACAATTCTGTTTACTGCTTCCCTCACTCCGACCACTTATTAAGTTATGCTACAAAAATGCGTGTGTGGCGTATTTGTGATATTGCACTTGAAGCCATCAAAGTAGGCAGCATTGCGGAACGCCATTGATCTGGCCGCCGCAGATAACAGTCCATAGTGGGTTGTCACGCTATCAAGTGTTCTTTCAGTAGTTGACACACTCACAAGGAGATTAAAAACCCGTTTTCGGCCTTCAGTCAGTTCATAGCTGATCAAAGAGTGTACAGTCTTTGGAACATCGCTAATTCTGTAGGATACTGATCGACTTATCTCAGCGTTTCTTACCGTCTTACTTTAACGTTAATATGAACCGAACTGAAAAGGAGTTTTCATATAAAACCCAGAAATTATGTTTGGTTGGGAGTTCAGATTAAGCTGAAATAATCCCATCAGTCATATACATCTATGTAACAGGTATTTCCATGATCAAATGACATCAGCAATAAATCTCGATGTTGCTAATATACTCATTTTTAGGATTGATATCAAACATTTGTTATCAATATCTTCCTAATTAGTTTACGAACGTATTCTCTTGAAACATAGTTCTATTTTTTTAGAAAAAGAATTGTCATTGCCTCTTTTACTATTTACTTTGCAGCTGACCAATTAAACATATCAACATGCAACCTACATTTTTAGAACCTTTGGGTTCAGTTAATTTCTCAAAATTCAAGACCGATATATCGCTGAGGAATACAACGCAAATCGTCTTCAGTTCATCTTCAGCAACTGTATGTCTATACGATATACACAAGCTTGAATGCTTTCGTGACAGTCCGAATTGGTCACATCAATTTACATGGATACCTATTTTAGATTTAAAATATTTATTGGATAATGTATCAGACTCTCCTGATGATTTGTACAATTGGCATATTAGTAAAGTTATGTTTGTAAATACTTCAACTACGGCAAGGCAATCTTTAGCAGCAGTTCTTGTAAATATCAACCAGAATCGTTCACTTGTCTGTTTTTTTCGTTCATTGAGTACAGCGAAATGTAACATAAATATTTTAGTAAATGGGGCAATAACCTCACTAGAGTGGTTGCCTCTTATCGATATAGGATGTAAGCCATCGGAATCGCACTCCATGAACTCTACTATGGATAATACGGATCAAGATATTTCCAAAGGAACAAACAAAACTTTAAGCTCTGTTTTGTCAATTTTTGATGGTTGTTTCGCTCTCGGCTTTCAGCAAGGACTCGTAGGTTTACTGGGTAAGTATATATTTGTTTATGTTTTAGAGACATGATTGACCTTAGACTTGTACACTATTGGATCCCAACTCAGTAGTTTAGAGGTTAAGTGTTTGCACACGTGACTGAAGTTCCTGGGTTTTTTTGATCGTAGATGCGGCGTCGTGGATGCGCACTACTGAGAAGTGTCATACTAGGACGAAAGGCCTCAGTGCTTTTAAGTCGTTCTTTTTTCTTGAATTATATTGTTTGTGCTTAGTCTTTTCTACTACCACAGTTACTGTTACTAATTACATTATTCAGGCGTCGCCGTGATGTGTTTTTTTTAACCCTGAGCCGTTGCTCGTTTAAATCAGATTTTCCTTTTTGTATAACTAACTGACTAAGACAACTGTGTGTTAGCCCAACGAGGTAATATGCAGCTACCAATATCGTCTAGAACAAGAGTTCGTGACTTTGTGGATCGCTACTCTGTATTATTGTGGATAATGCTACATTATTCCCAGAGTGTACATTTTTTCCAACTGCCATACTCCATTAGCTCAGCGAGATGAAACTATCAGGGAAAATCACTGAGTAGTAGAGGTATTAGTCGTAGTAGATGAAAATGCGCGTCTATGTGGGTGTATGGTTGGGATACGTGAAATATCGTACACGAACAATGTTGGAACACATTTATGAAAAAAAACTGCCATGTATGCTTTCTTTATACTTTCATGGACGACGTTTCTTAGCCATGGAGTAGTGTAGAATAATTTGTTTATCAGAATATTTGCCTTCTGGTCGTTGGATGGACATTTTACATACGCGATAAGTGACTCGATTTGGCAAAACCCAGGTGGTTTTTTTTGAGTTCGCGTCGAGATTTTGTCACACAATAATCCATCATGGTTGTCGAGATGTCTACGATAAACATAGTGGCCTATGCATCTAACTGACTTCACTCTTGATAATCACCTCAGGTGATGATGCAAAAAAGTCCTGAAGTAAAACTGTTTCGTGATAGTATCTCCTTTGTTTTCATTATATGGTGTATTAGAGTTGGCGTGATGCTTTGTATTCCCTATTTTTTTGATAGTGGGCATTTATTTGTTGAAGTTATTGTAGCTACTTATCTGTGTATTAAAAGTATCAGCATAGATATCTTCGAAACATTGCTCGTTTATCCTGGGACCACCGAGTATGTAACTTAGTTGTTAGGAAACAGGTACTCGGTATGGATGGCAAATCAATTGATGGAGTAGTGAAACTTCATCAGTTGAGATGGCTGGGACATGTGTTACGTATGCCCGACCACCGACTGCCCCGACGTGCGATGATTTATGATGTAGGAGTAGGTTGGAAGAAAGCTAGGGGCGGCCAGACCAAAACATGACACAAATCCATGAAGTCATTGACAAGTGGACTGAGCCATGTTTGTAGGTGTAGACTACTTGGTTGGGGTCCGCAAGACGATAGCAACCGATGGTTAGAGATCTTGAATATTATGGCTCAAAATCGTTTGTAATGACATAGGTGCATCCACTCTTTGTGTTCTCCCAAACTCTAATATTCTGAATTCTTCATGTTCCTTCTTTTTTCCTCCTTCTTTTTCCTCCTTAAATGACATCATCATACCCTCATGTTCCCTATTACTACTTATACTTTCACTACCTCTATCACTACGGGATTTGAATCTATAATTGAATCTCTGTGCTAATGTGGTATAGCAACTCCAACTGATGTACGTACGTACGTACGAAGTTCCACGTTGTTACTGACTGACTGATTTATGATTTTATTACGAAAAAAAAAACAACAACACCTATTTGTGTTTATAATCGCCTTTTAATGAGATAATGATATTTGGCTAACAAATTCAACATGCACAGTTCATGCATTCTAAAATTTGGTAGACGAAATTTATAGTGATTTAGATTTATTTCAGTCTCTTTGTTCATTATCATTGACTATCAGTCGAAATCTATTCCACTGATTTGTGGTTGAATAGTCATATAGTAACCAGAGGTTTTAACTTGTAAATATCTATCTATCTATCTATCTATCTATATATATATATATATATATATATATATATATATATATATATATATATATGGTTGACTGCTTGTTTTCTTTCTTTTCTTTTCTTTTTTTTATAGATATGTGTCTAACACATACTCGTGATGATTTATTAAATGATATACCTGAAACATCAATTGCAGTTGAAAGATCACATTGTTTAAATTGTTTTTTTTGTAAACAACCAATAACTCAACCATCTAATGATAATATAGAACACTCACTAGTATATCTTGACGGTAAATTGAAGTAGTCCTTTTCTTTTTAAAGGTTGAAACAATGCTTTAAAATCTAATTAACAGTATATAAACTACTTTGACGAATTGGTTAGTTTAGGATAGATTGTTTGCCCCCAAATGCCCTGGTACGGCCGAGAGTGGGGAGAGTCCGCTCACCCTCTCGAAATGCTCTCACATGGCCACGCGTATATAGCCTCTGCCAGGGCAGTCCTACTCAATGCCTTCTCGTGGCATTAATGTTGTTTACGAAAATGAGAGGACGAAAAGCGAATGTTCGGCGCTTTAATCGGATCCCAAACCAATGGTGCACATGGGTTGGCTCCAGTATCCTGAAGGAACAAATGATGTATGAACCAATTATTGGTCACCGGCTACCATCGGAATGCGTCTCCTTACGATGTTCCACTGCCTTGTGGGTCAGACATCCAGATCGAAGGCTCGGGGTGTGGCCCCATAAGCAAACCACTTGCTTCGGTTTGGGCACCCGGTCAGTATCACAGCCCTCACACAAATCAATTGAGATTCGTGTGGCGCATATGTATTTGATGCCTCCTTGTACCAATACCTATGTGTTAAAATAAATTTGGTGATGAAGAGCTAACTCTCCCAACTCTCGGCCGTACTCCAGGGTATTTTGGCGGGTGTATAAAATGTTTTATAGCTTGGATGTCATTGCTCATTTGTGAATTCATTTTCATGATTGATTATTTGGAGTGATATTAAGTAATTTTTTCTACGCTATTATTTTTTGATATATTTCACTTAGCCTCAGTTCTTCGATGGAATGATTTTACATATAAATCTGTCAGTGGTAAAACATTATCTTCAATCCCATCTGGTAAGTGTTTTTTTGTTTATATATGTCTGTGTATGTAAATTTATTATTACATATTGTTTCATATGATCATGTTTGGTTTAACATATTATTCGTATACATAATGAAGCTAATAGATTAAGCATCGGTGCATTTGGCTTTCAAACATTGTCGCAGATTTGAATTTCCCTCTGCCTAGTTTAATTTGAACAGTTAAATGAAATCAGAAGCCCTCTTACAAAAATGTAACTTAACAAACCTTGAATACATGGGTAAGGATGCTGCCCATTTCAGTTTGAAGATTTGGTTAGTATCGATCATCCTTACAAAAAGTATGTGACTCAAATCTATTGAGTACATATATGCTTTTAAATGGATACAAAGTTTTATTATATCCCATTAACTAGTTTACAAATCTTTACGGAAGCAAAATATCTAAATTCTCATCTGTTTCACTATTATTATTCTTAATTATAGCTGGTGTCTACGTGTCAGCCTTAAGTTATATTCCACAACTTCAAGGTCTTGCTGTCGGCTTCAGTTTTGGTGGTTGGCAATTATGGTCATTGGATCGACTGAATATGGAGTAAGCGTTGTGTGAATTTCTTCTCTTTGTTTTTACAAAGATGTAAACCGTGTCTTTTGCAATAACTATTTTAAACATTTCAAATTATACGGCTTGTATTATAAAGCTAAACAATAGTTATAAACGATCTTTTGATAGGTATATCAAAAACATATCATTCTATCCATAGAGTGGTTTTTGTGTTTAATCGTTAATTGACTTTCAATTATTGGTTTGTCAGTTAACTGATGCATTTCACCTATGTTGGTTTATGTAATAACGTAGTCTCTTCAGCCCCCAAATGCCGTGGTACAGACGAGAGTAGGGAGAATCAACTCTCCCTTTCCGAATCCTCTCACATGGCCACGTGCATACAGCCACTGCCAGGGAAGTCCTACTCACTGCTTTCTCGCGGTGGGAGTGTTGTTTTCGAACTTCAGAGGACGAAAGTCGCATGTTCGACGCTTTAATCTGGTCGACAGATATAGAGAATACACCTAGGTGAGTTGGAAAACCCTGATTCCAAACTAATGATGCACATGGGTTCCAGTATCCTAAGGAAACAAATGGCGTATGAACCAATCATTGGTCAGTGACTACCATGAGACAGCATCTTCTTACGATGCTCCACTGCTTTGTCGATCAAACCATTAGGTGGAAGGCTCCGGGTGTGGCCCCCTAAGAAAACTGCCTGCTTCGACCTGGGCACTCGTGCAGTATCACAGCCCTCACATAAATCGAATGATTTATGTGACTGTTATAACTTGTGACCCGCCAATTGTTATGTGTTGAGACATGGGCGGATTAGAGGACAGCGAGTTATCGATCGGGCCGAAGACGCGTAAACACGTAAGAACAGCCTAGAGTTCTGATTGGCCCTGCTTCCCTGTCTAGCCCAGCCGGTTGACTTCAGAACGCAAGTCTCAGCCTCTGCGATATAAATCATTATATTTCAAACATACTCTGTTTATATACTAAACAAACAGACTACATCGTACCATAAAATAGAAAGTATCATTTGTATAAGATTCGACCTCCAGGAAATGACACAAATAAATATTGACCAACGGGAAAATGACACGTTGGAAGAATATTGACCAATGGGGAAATGACACCATTTCTCATTCAGGAATAGCATTAGATAATTTCTGGGGTATTTTCTGAATACCCCAACAGTGGCGCATATCCATTTGGTGCCTCCTTGTACCAATGATTACGTGTTTAAATGTATAAATATGTCTTTATCTGCTTAACATTATGTATATGATCCAGAGTTCAGTAAATGGTTTTTATTCCGAAAATAGCTTCCACCGGACATATCTGATTATATGTTGCATATCTAAAAATGTTTCCAGGATTCCTTCACTTTCATTCTGTCATTCTTTACTTTATCAACTGGGGTGGTGGTAACAGCATTCAACCACCTCGCCTAAAAGTCAACACTTTACTTGATTTAATCTAGTTTCGAAAACTATACAGTGTCAATAGTTTTCACATATCAGACTGCATCTCCTCACGTTACTCCACTTTTTTTATGGGTTAGACCTGTAGGTTAAAGGCTTGGGGGGTCCACTTGCATCGGTTTGGGCACCCGGGCAGTATCATAGCCCCCACACAGATCAATGATAACTGTGTGGCGTGTATGTATTTGGTGCCCATTTTTTAAATCAGTTTTCATATGTTTAAATAGATAATTAGACAATCAGAATCGGAGAGTTATAATCTTTACTATTTTCTATCTGTTTTAGATTTTGTTTGCGACAAGCTACTCCAGCTACTCCTGTGGTTAGTTTCAACTTTCTAGAACCTTCAGATGATCCACGATTTTGTTGTTTTATTTGGGTTGGTTGGCAATCAAAACAAGAAACTGAAAGTGATGGTGTGTTTAGATTTACTGGAAAACAAAATGCTGCAGGAAACTTTCAAAGGTAAATTTAGTTTTTAAAGAAAGTAATGTATATTGGGATATTCCAAAAAGCATCATAGTTTGTGTATCTTTTTAAATAGTGTTTGAAATGATAATAAATGATTCCAGAATATGATATATATGAAAAGATTTAATACCAACGTCTGCCCCCAATTGCCCTGGTACGACCGAGAGTAAGGAGAGTCCGCTCACGCGTATATAGCCTCTGACAAGGAAGTCCTACTCACTGCCTTTACGTGGCGGGGGTGTTGTTTACGAAAATGAGAGGACGAAAAGCGAATGTTCGGCGCTTTAATCGGATCCCAAACCAATGGTGCACATGGGTTGGCTCCAGTATCCTGAAGGAACAAATGATGTATGAACCAATTATTGGTCACCGGCTACCATCGGAATGCATCTCCTTAAGATGCTCCACTGCCTTGTGGGTCAGACGTTCAGGTCGGAGGCTTGGGGTGTGGCCCACTAAGCAAACCACTTGCTTCGGTTTGGGAACCCGGTCAGTATCACATCCCTCACACGTATCAATGGAGATTTGTGTGGCGCATATATATTTGATGCCTCCGTGTACCAATACCTATGTGTTAAAATAAATAAATAAATAATACCAACGTCTGATTCAAAGTTGTCTATAGGTAATTCAACTTAGTAACACGAGCTTATAATATTAACGTTAACTTGGTTGAAATATGACTGTGGACAACATTCTATGCTCTTTCTCTTGTCCTTTAATTGATCGTGAAGAAGTGAAGTCGTGACTGAAATATGTTGTTTTGTACTATCTGAAGAAATTAGCTAGGAGGACAACTATTTCTTTGTTCTTACATCTTCAATGAACCTTGAAAGGGTTTCGTTTCTAACGATTTGATCGATCTGTTTTTTTGTCGTGTAGTCCAGTGAAACTCATTTAGTTTTTTGCATGTAATTGTAAGGAAAAATGTTACTGCCTATGACTATGTTATTGAATGCGCATAAATGTACCAATCTCACTATTCCCGTTTCTTTTCTCCTAGTCCACATCACCGCATTATATGTTCGTACCTGGTGTTGTCCATCCTGACCTTGGCGTTTAGATTCGACATCATGATGATCAGTTTGGCACTTTCATAGAATGGAGTGGAGCCTCTCATAAGACTGGTCTTTATCATTTTTACTCCCATCATTGGTAGACTCATAGCATTGAATGATACTCACTAAATCCTTCTGTTCTTTGTTTCGAAAGATGCTTTGATAATCAATGACTACTGGGTTTGCCGTTCTATAAGTGCTTTTCGTGTTTCTGTCAACAGCATCGGTTCAACTGCTTTTGTGTAAGGCATCTTCTTCTCCAGAATCAGAATGCGATAACATCTCTGCTGAAGTTAGTCCAGTCGGTCTCAAGTATTCCAGAGCGATGTTGTATTATCTCATTCCTGTGTCTATATGAATAATTTTCCAGTTTAGGCGTTCCATGTCTGTATGTTTATTCTTGTCCTGTTTGTAAGAAGGGATATCGGCTTAATGGCTTTCTAAAACTCGGTCTTTACTTTGAGGGATCAGAACTTATTTATATAAATACTCTTAGACTCTCAAAATAGAATTTAGTTAGTTTTCGCTGGTCAGCGATTTTTGAGTGATGTTCTTTATACTCTGTGCAGTTTTCTATCCTACACTCAGCCTTCTTTTTTATGAAGGTTTGGGACATATAGTAGCTCCTTTGGAGGCCCAGGAAAAGTTAAACTAGGGATAGCTTCACATAATTAACTTCAAAGAGCACTTTTCCGGGTGATATTACAGTGAGGTTATAATTTATGGACGACCTTTGAGCGACGCTGAAGTGACCTTGAGTGGACACTTAATGATTAGGACTATATGAAGGTTATAAAGCAGATGAATTCTCATTTACAGTTGATGGCTAGGGTTAAAAATTAGATTTAGGGTTTTCATCACGAACTGACATCAGCTATAATGTCAAAACTCTATTTAGCCAAATGTATGGATGAATTTCGCGCCAAATTTCGTGACTCGTTATCTTATATCTGATTGGTTCGTCTATAAATTATAGTCTCGCCTGATATTACTTCGGTTGTTCAAATGAAAGTAGATATGACGGTATTCAAACTTGAAAACTAATGTTTTTTTTCTGTATAAAATCTCATTAATGACACAATTGTTTAGTTTTATAATAAATCATTAAATTGAAATATCCATAAAGTTAGTTTGATTCCCAAACCCTGTGGTACGACCGAGAGTGGGGAGAGTTAGCCCTCTATCTCCAAGTGCTCTCACTTAGTCACGTAGATGCAACCATTGCCAGGGAAGTGCTACTAACCTCCTTCTCGCGGTGGCAGTGTTGTTTACAAAATTGAGAAAACGAAAAATGGATGTCCGGCGGTTTAACCGGGTTGGTGGGTACGAAGACTCCACCTAGGGGAGTTGGAAAACCCTAGTTTCAAATCAATGGTACACATTGACTCCAGTATCCTGAAGGAACAAGTGATGTATGAACCAACTATTGGTCACTGGCTACCATGAGGCTGCATCTCCTAACGTTACTCCACTGCCTTGTGGATCAGACCTTTAGGTCGAAGGCTCCGAGTCTGACCCACCCCTAAGAAAACTACATGCTTCGTTTTGGGCACCCAAGAAGTATCATAGACTTGTGTGTCGAGTATGTAATTCGATACCCCTTTGTACCAATATTTCTTTATCTAAATAAATAAATCAATGAAATAAATTTGACTCCATAGACTGTAAAGTTAAGTCATTATTTTTTGATAACTGTAAACGGTATGAGATATGGTTGTTCCTTTCTCTCTTCATAGTTCTCATGAATCAGTCATCAATTATTTATTTATTTGAACATATAGATATTAGTACATTGAGGCCCCAAATACATATGCGCCACACAAATCTCAATTAATTTGTGTGAGGGATGTGATACTGACCAGGTGCCCAAACCGAAGCAGGTGGTTTGCTTAGGGGGCCACACCCCGAGCCTTCCACCTAAAGGTCTGATCCACAAGCCAGAGAAGCATCGTAAGGAGATTCAGTCCCATGGTAGCCAGTGACCAATGATTGTTCCATACGCCATTTGTTCCTTCAGGATACTAGACACTATGTACACCATTGGTTTGGTATCCGATTAAGGCGCCGGACATTCGCTTTTCATCCTCTCAATTTCGTAAACAACACCTCCGCCACGAGAGGCAGTGAGTAGGACTTCCTTGGCAGAGGCTATATACGCGTGGCCATTTGAGAGCATTTCAAGAGGATGAGCGGACTCTCCCCATCCTCGGCTGTACTAGGGCATTTTGAGGGCATCAATGTTAGTCACTTAATGTTACATTACATATGATAAGTAATTTCTTATCATGAATAGAATTCATCTTGAATTTACTTTCTTTTCTTTTTTTTTTTTTCTTTCTAAAATCTATTAGTCCAACAGTAAAATTATTCCAGTTATCCTATAGACGTCGTTATGAATTATTTTCAAATAAACATAAAGAATTTAATTTCTATTACCAGGTAACTATTAATATAACCTATAACAATATGATACTCATTTATGTCAATTATTTATTCTATATTATTGATTTCACAGTTGTTTATTGTCGTTTTGTGAATATATATGCGTCACACCATGTTTTTTGTGTATGGGCTGAGAGACTGCCCGGGTGCCCAGATCGAAGAAGATGGTTTCCTTAGGTGACCACACACGCCGAGCCTTCTACCTAAAGGTCTGATCCACAAGGCTGTGGAGTAACGTAAGGAGATGCAATCCCATGGAAACTGGTGACTAATGATTGGTTCATACACCATTTGTTCCTTTAGGATACTGGAGCTAGCCTATGTGCACGATTGGTTTAGGATCCGATTAAAGCGCCGGACATACGCTTTTTATCCTCTTATATTCGTAAACAACAGTAATGCCACGAGAATTCAGTGAGTAGGACTTCCCTGGCAGAGGCTGTATACGCGTGGACGTGTGAGAGTATTTCGAGAGGGAGGGCTAACCCACTCTACTCTCGGCCATACCAGGGCATTTAGAGGCTCATTCTGTTTATTAAAGTGAACAATTTGATTATGAAATAGGTTATTAAATAATCATTTTATTTTATTATTCATTTAGGTGATGACAATCCTGTTTGTTAAAGAGTCTCATACTAGGATGAAACAACCATTCAATGTTTTTTTTTTAGGTTTTTCATAATGATCTAGCTTCAATGAATACATGATTGAAATGTGAATCAACATGGAGATTGGGATAAATTTTTTTGTTAGGCTAATTCGTCATACCACATCAATATGAGATATAGATTAGATTTCAGCTAAATAATATGAGATTGACATATCATCAGTTGTGTGAAAGAGAGTTGTTAGTTTTGATCCCTATGCATATGTGTTCGATGTCCTGAGATGTGGATAGTTATTCAATAGTTCTGGAGTTGATATCAGTCCATCATAAAATATCATTGTCGGTTAAATAGATGCTGGAAATCTTTAGATCCTTATGTGAATAACAAAAGAATTCAGAATTAGTACGGCAATAATTTTGGCAGTGTTTAAACTGAATTGTATTGAGAGTATACTACTAACACATGGAAATACAGATGATAATACTTAGGCTACAGTACAGATACTATGATCCAATTAAATGACTTGACATTTCATCTCCTTGTCTCGTATAACTTGAAGTAATCATCAGTAATCGATCAGTGTTGTTTAAGAAAAAAATCATTACAGTAGGTCATTTTGTTTTAGTGTGTGTAAGTAGTTCATATGCTTATCTACTGTAACTTTACCAAAACCGGGTGTAATGTATATTCAAATTTCCAAACAGCAGGAGTATATTCATTTTCACGTTAAAGTATATTTTGATGATTCAGTCTCAAGGTATAAAATGAGCTAACTAGGTGAAGAACTTTTTACCGATCGTTTCAATTGTATCCTTAGTTTCTAATTATAAATGACCGACAGCCAGCCAACCAGTCAGTTAGTAACAACACAGAATTTCGTACGTACGTACATCAGTTCAAGTTGCCATGACACATGAGCACAAAGATACAATTGTCTATTCAAATCCAACAGTGGTAGAACTAGTATAAACAATAATCGGAAAGATTAGGATTTGAAGATTTTATTCAAGGAGTATAATCCAGTGAAATAAATTTCGAAAGAGAAAAAAGAGAAATTGACATGAAGAATTCAGTATATTAGATTTTGGGAGAACACAAATAGTCGATTTTGAGCCATGTCATTCAAGGCCTCTAACCATCGGTTGCTAACGTCTCGCGGATCCCAACCAGGTAGTCTACACCTATCAACATGGCTCACTCCACTTGTCAATAACTTCATGGATTTGTGCCATGTTTTGGTTTGTCCGCCTCTAGCTTCCTTCCAACCTACTCCTACACCATAATGCTTCGCACGTCGGGGCATTCAGTGGTTGGGCATACGTAACACATGTCCCAGCCATCCTAACTGATGAAGTTTCACTACTTCATCAATTGATTTGCCATCCATACCTAGTACCTGTTTCTTAACAACTGAGTTACTTACTCGGTGGTCTCAGGATATAAGAGCAATGCTTCGAAGAAATCTATGATCGAATACTAGTAACTTAAAGATATTCTTTACTCTTACCAGCCATGTTTCACTGTCATAAAGTAAGACGTAACGAACTGCTGCGCAGTAAGCCCGTTCTTTGGTTGGTAGACGGATATTTAGCCTACTCCATAAATGACGCAAGTTAGCAAAAGCTAGTCGAGCCTTCTGTATCCGTACTGAGATTTCCTCACAAACCAGACCATAAAGGCTGATGAGACTTCCAAGACAAGTGAAGTGGTCGACACACTCAACTATTTCATTCTCTATCATTAGTTCAGGTGCCGATGCAATCTAATCTTGAAGCAACATTTTGCATTTCGACGGGGAGAATCGCATCTCGAACATGCTTACTTTTGTTGCTTACAATGATCAGAAGTCATTTATTATAGTTTAATATTTTTACCTATTTATATTATGATAAACCTTTTGTTTTTTTTTTATTTTAAAGGATTTAATTGGTATTGCAGAACGTTTATCTACAACATTATCTGGTGATAAAATTGACGATAATAAACCTCAATATACATCTAGATTACTTTCTGTTCAATCACTTCATGCACCGGGTGATTTCATTATGGATAATAATAATAATAATAATAATAATAATAATTATCATCATCCCAATAATAATCATAATCATAATAATAATAATACTGTCATCAGTCATTCTATAGGAATGATACGTTTAATTGCTTTTATATGGAAATTTTCCGATTCTATTATTCGTATTGGTCTGTTTGATTTAGATCGATGGTATCATGCACAAATGCCAACTTATATCAGGTATGCAAATAAATTATAATAACATTTTGATAAGACTATGTATTGTGCTTATTTTAGATTAAGAAAGATATGAGATAAAGTATATGGTTGTATAATAGTGAAGTCGTTGTTACTTAGATAGTTCTTTTTTTTTTTTTTGGAGGAAAAGCCTTAGTGATTGAAACGTTCGAATTTCATCTTGTAGGTTTAACTTTCAAATATCACTTCACCTACTTTAGTTTAAGCAATCGAATAGTATAACTTAACCTTCATATCCAGGATGTTACTGAATGCTAAGTATACGAGTGTGGTCTTGGTAAAATGAATTGAATAAACAAATCAGGTTCAACTTGAATATAGTTTCTAACCTATAGTGAGCTCACTGACGATTACCGGCTTATCGATTGAATTTCTTAAAACCTTAATGAAAGTAGCCATTCAACACATGACACATAAGAAACGGATATCATGTATAGTATTAAACGATTGTCTCACTATATTACAAATTCATTTATATTTGAACGATGGTATAAACGATAGACTATACATTTCGTAATTGGATTTGATATAGTTGTTGTGCTATATTGTTCATGATTCTTGAACCATCCATTTTCAAGATATTAAGGATCTCCAATCCAAAAAAAAACTCTACATCGTTCTTGATTGCTGAAACTAAAAGCCAGTGATTTATTTGGAATCCAAGTAATCATACTGTAATATACCTCAATGATTTTACTTGGTAAGGATGCCTCTAAATGCCCTGGTACGGCCGAGAGTGAGGAAAGTCCGCTCTCCCTCTCCAAATGCTCTCACATGGTCACGCGTATATAGCCTCTGACAGGGACGTCCTACTCACTGCCTTCTCGCACCATGGTGCTGTTTACGAAAATGAGAGGATGAATAGCGAATGTCCGGCGCATTAACCGGATCCTAAACCAATCGTGCACATAGGCTAGCTCCAGTATCCTAAAGGAACAAATGGTGTATGAACCAATCGTTGGTCACCGGCTACCATGGGACTGCATCTCCTCACGATGCTCCACTGCCTTGTGGATCAGACGTTCAGGTCGGAGGCTCGGGGTGTGGCCCCCTAACAAAACCACTTGCTTTGGTCTGGGCACCAGGGCAGTATCACAGCTCTCACACAAATCTCATTTGATTTGTGTGACGCATATATATTTGGTGCATCTTTGTACCAATATCTATGTGTTAAAATAAATAATAAATAAATAATGGTAAGGATTCCTAAATCCACCTACTTATTTACTGTCATTTTGTAGAAATTTTAAATGCTCACATGATCAATACCCACTCTTGTTTGTATTGCATTGTGAAAGTCAATGACCTCTTTGGTCAAGTATCAATAATTGTCCTACTAGTCATAATTTGCAATATTCGTGAAATAGTGATGTAGTGAATGAGAACACAAGCAGGGACAACCAAATGTTTTTGAACATAATATTACAAAATCTCTTAGTAAAATCTAAGAACCATACACTAATACTTCATTTGTAAAATATCGATTAGTTGTCTTAGACTGGACTGTTCCTTTCGTTTCAACACTAAGCGATCTCTGTTCTCATAATCTTCTCTTCGATTCTAACCTTCTGCTTTCAAGCATTTCATTTTCGATTGATAATACAAACTACTTATATCTGTCGACATCAGTAGCACACACCACAGTGATACAAAATAGATTGTTGAATAGTAAACCTTTCTTTTTTAATATTAACACAAATATATCGTTGTTGGTACAAAATGGGTTATTGTGCTTCACACACACACACATGTGCCTAGTTAAGTTGTTTAAACTAGTGTGTATAGTATCTTTGAAAGAACTTGTAGAACAGTGAGTTAGTAATTATAGACCGTTGGTTTTTTGCAAATTTAACCCACTCTAATCCATTTGTTCCAGTTTGGGCAGCCAAGTCATATAATTGCCTCTCGCATACAGTGTGGTTTAGAGCCGAATACGTGTACGCTCATTGAATTTGTATCAAAATTACACACACACACACACACACACCAGAAGAGTTAGAACGTATGTTTACCAAGTGATCCTATTCCTAGTTATATTTGTTATGATTTAAATATCTTGGTGAAATTTATGATTCATATACAAAAATATCTAACCGATACATCTTTGAGACGGTGTAGAATATATGTTATTTAAGATGAGGATTTTCAAGATGTTTTGTTTGCTTAATGGTAAAAGTTTCACATACCCCATTTATATTCCTTCAAGATACTGAAGCCAATGTGTACCATTGATTTGAAATCAGGGTTTTCCAACTCCCCTAGATAGACTCTCCATATCCACCAACCCAGTTAGAATGCTGTACATTCTCTTTTCATCCTTTCAAGTTGGTAAATAATACCTCACTGGCGAGAATGTAGTGAGTAGGAGTTCTTTCTATGGCAGTGGTTGTATGCACGTGACCATGTGAGAGGATTTTGGAGAGGGAGAGTTGACTCTCCTCACTCTCGACCGTACCAGGGCATTTGAGGGAAATATGTTGTTAAACCAAATATCACTTCAATGAAACAATCCTGTGTTAGGTTCTATTTACTCTGAGATTTCAATTATTTAAATAAATAGATCTGTTAATTATTTATTTCATTGTTGGAAATAGTTATTTATAAAGAAAAACCTACGTGTTTCTTATCTCATTTTAGATCTGATGACACGTTTGTTTCTATTTTTGATGCATCAATTCCAAATCAAAAAGTACACTTATTGGTAAGTTTAAATGTTTCTTTTCTTTTTGACTGAAAACATGAAGCTAAGATTTTCGGTCTCGCACACGAACGCTTAACCTCTTGACCATCAAGCCGGTTTTTGTTTCGAGTCCCACGTATGAGTTCGTGTATGTGCAGTGCTGAGGAGTCACATACTAGGACCAAACTTCTACCCAGTGTTTCCAGGTTTTCAATAGTGGTCTAACATTGATCGATTCATAATCTCAATCAAAACTCAACAATTATTTATTTAAACATATAAACATTGGTACAAGAAGGCACCAAATGGATATGTGCCACATAAATCATTCGATTTGTATGAGGGCTGAGATACTGCTTGAGTGCCCAAACCGACTCGGGTGGTTTTTTTTTCAGAGGACCACACCCGGAGCTTTCGACATAAAGGTCTGATCCACAAGGCAGTAGAGCGACGTCAGGAGATGCCGTTCCATACTAGCCGATGACCAATAAATGGTTCATACCCCATTTATTCCTTTAGGATACTGGGGTCAATATGCACCATTGATTTCGAATCAGGGTTTTCCAGCTCTCCGAGATAGAATCTGTCCACCAACTCGTTTAGAGTGCTATATATTCGCTTTTGTCCTCTCAAGTTGGTAAATAATACCCCAGCGGCGTGAAGGCAGTGAGTAGGAGTTCTGTGGCAGTGGTTGTATGTACGTTGCAATGTGAGATGATTTGGTGAGAGAGAGAGCTGACTCTCCCCCACTCTCAGCCGTACCCGGGCATTCGGGGGAAATATTTTGTACGTTCCTTATTCATCTGGTCTATGAGAACCATAAAGTGGTGTAGTCCTACTGTGTATACAAAATAACTGTTCTGTATTTTCTGATTTTTAATGATTCCCATTGTTCGTATTAATTTATGATCAAAACCAACTCCCATAAAAATCTGTCAATCAATATTTATAAAGATTTGTAAAAGTTAAGGGTTATTTGGGCTCAGGATAGAGTGGGTTGGAGAATGCTGGTCAGCGGCCTATGCTCCATTAGGAGTAACAGGCGTAAGTAAGTAACGTAGTGGACAAAATTTTGGCGTTTTGAACAAAATCTTCTAGGTCCCTAAGTCTTTGTATGGATATCAACAAAGATATGCAGTGATATACAGTCGATGAAATACACTGACAATTACTATTCTACTTAAATAAACCTATTTTATTATCTTCATCGTTTTGTTGTTATTTTGATGAAGTTTTGTTCTCTGAGCTGGATGGTTTGATCGTGAAGCTTTCATCGTTCTTCTGAACAACATCATCAGCACAAACTTCAGATAGAAATGAAGTGTTCGAATTTCTCCATATACGTTTCACAACTTGTTCTGTACACCTCGATCAATAAGAACCAATCAACACTTCACTTCTATCTAAAGTTTGTTCTGCGGATGATGTCGTTCAGAAGAACAATGAAAGCTCCACGATCAAACTATCCAGCTCAAAGAATAAAACTCTATTAAAATCATCCACTTGAGTTACAAATCTTCTCCATCATGTTGTTATTTTCTTTAATCAATAGCATACCTATTTAATTGAATCAAGTTTAATGTCATTTTGGAGTCGTATTGTTCAACGTGAATCAAATTTAATTCAATATTGTCAATCTTATCCTATATTAATTCATTCAAATACTAATTCTATCAATCATTATCATTATAAAAGATCACGTCCAATTCCTGAAGTATTTCTACGTCCATCTTCATTATCATTTCATTGTCTTATATTTTGGACTAATGATAGTAATTATAATAATAATAATAATGTATTGAACTTTTCTATTACACAACAACAACAACATCGTCCTCGTACTACTACTAACACTACTACTCATAATACTACTTATCAATATTATGATTGTATCTATCATCTTAGTCGAATTATATTTATATCATATCAAGAAGAATGTATTATAGAATTAAATCAATTTATACAGAAGAAGCCATCATCATCATTATCATTATCATCATTCATAAATGATAAAAAATTTAATATAATTCAGTGGTTATCAAATGCATGGAAATTTGGTTTACTTGTTGAATCACCAGGTTTAGATTCATTAGATGATGAAGAATTAATGAATTTATTAAATTATACACAAAATATTACTTTAATGAAGAATAAATATACTACTGATAATACTACTAATAATTATGGTATTCATTTAACCCTTGGTGATTATTATGATCAATCTATAATTGATAGTTTAAATAAATTATTATATTATTTAACAATAGAACAATTAAATAGTAATCTTTTTGTATTAGATAATCAGAATCCGAATCAGGATCGTGATCATGATGGTGATGATAATGATGATGATGATGATAATGATGATGATTGTATTTCATCAAAACGTAATTGTAAATATCGTCGAATTGATCAATCAGTTAATTCATCATTATATAATAAAGGAATAAATAAAACGAGAAAGAAATATCAATATTCTTTAGATCCTTGTTGGGTATTATTAGCTAATTGTCTTTTAGAACATGGTTGTATTAATGTATTAAAGGTAAGTTTGTCTATTTAACTATTATTTGTGGTATATGTTACTCATAATGAAAAGCATAAGTAGTATGTAACATCAGACAGACAGTTACAGTGTAAGATGAGTTACATATATGCATTGGTCCAAGTTGCTATAACTCATTAGCACAACAAGATGAATACCGAATTCATAAAAGTAGTCACTTCAATGGTATTAATATATAAAAGAAAGATTGTATATAAGGTTATAGTACAGGAAGAAAGAATTACAAAGATATAAAGTAGTTTTAATCTCATCGTTTAAGGGAAGACGAATAGTGTATACACCTACACCATTGTGATTGATTCTGAGACATGTCACCCAGAGACTCCAACCATTGGTTACGATAGTCACGCGTACCTCAACCAAGTAGTCTGCATCTACCAACATGGCTTAAATTAGAAGTTAGTGACTTCAAGCACTGATACCACGTTTTGGTTTGTCCGACCCTAACTTTCTTCCAATTATCCCCAACACTGTTGGGGTATTCAGAAAATACCCCAGAAATTATCTAATGCTATTCCTGAATGAGAAGTAGTGTCATTTCCCCATTGGTCAACATTCTTCCAGCGTGTCATCTCCTTATTGGTCAATATTTATTTGTGTCATTTCCTAAAGGTTAAATCTTGTACAAATGTTACTTTCTATTTTATGGTACGATGTAGTCTGTTTGTTTGGTATATAAACAGTGTATGCTTGAAATATAACGATTCATATCTCCGGGGCTGAGACTTGTGTTCTGGACTCAATTGGCTGGGCTAGACAGGGAAGCAGGACCAATCAGAGCTCTAGGCTGCTCGGTCGTATTTTGTGCGTCACTGTTCCGATCGATAATAGGCTGCTCTCTAATAGGCGGATCACACGTTATAACAAACACCGGTTAGCATTGCGCGTCGTGGTAATCGGTGTTCAGGCATATGTAACATGTGACCCAACCATCTCAGTCTATGAAGATTCACAACCTCATCAACTGATTAACTATCATCATTCCCTAATACTCTGCTTCTGACTTCACTATTACTTACCCGGTAATCCCAGCAGATGCAAGCAATATGTCTAAGGCATATTTGGTCAAATACTAGTAGCTTACGATTATCTTCTACTCTTGATGACCTTTAATAACACTTAAGATCACTATATAACACAAATCAGAAAGTGAAACTCCTTGCAGCATAAGATTGGAAGGTTGAATGGAAGAGTATGGAAACAGACAGTAATTTTCGTAGCAATAAAGGAACGATGAAGATTGAGACAATTGATGAAAGATTTGCAAATGAAGTATTTAATGTATGGTTTTCACAATTTGCGAAGGAACTCTGTAATTATATAGTAAATAATAAGTTGATTGTAGCCGCCTAAGTGTTCGTTCATTACACTCTTACTACTATTGAGTTCATATATTAGTAGTTGGGAATTAATTTGACGTTTAAAATTTATTGTTGGTATATATCCCAATTTATAACTGTCAAATTTATATTTGAGTTGGATACTGGCTAATATTGGAGTCCAGAACGCGCGTTTCCTCGTATTTGGCACTCATTAGATCGATGTATCTAGATCCCAATATTGATGCTCACATATGGGCTCGAACAAAGTACCTTCCTCTCTAAACATCAACAAAGATAAACTTATTGGAATCGTTTATCTCTGTGTGTTGCTGTTAAGGTGATTATGGAATTACTTAGTTTTCTTTTAGGAATACTAAAGTCATGCTGGTAACGGTTACTACAATCGCTTTTTTTTCTTCTAATTCATCTTTTCATATAATCTTTACTATTTTCTAATTAGTTCCCACTACTCTTAGCTTATTAATTATCGTTATACTTCAAGGTGATGTTTTCGTACTATATCTAGTGAGCTCTACCATTTTAAGTTGTCCTGCTCAAATATGAAGTTTTTCTTGTCCTTTATCTTCCTGTGTTAGCGGCTAATTGTTGAAGTGTTTTATGGCAGTCGCTGTTATCGATTCCCCAATAGAACCATTCTTATTAAAATAACTCTATCGTCCTTTCATTCGCAAATATCGTAGGAAAATCAAAAACCCCGGTAGACAATGGTTTTCTTTTTACCATTTATCAGTGATATATCTATATATTTCATCGTATCATTGTCATTTGAAGTGGTGGAAACATTTCTGCCTCTTTTCATTTCCCCAGTTGTTAAGGGTCTAGATCAATAATGCTTAGGAGAATAGCTGAAGTTCAATTGAAGGTTATTTTGCGTTTCTTTATACGCTCATTCATTTTTTTATCCAAGTTACATAACTTGATACCTGGTTATAATAGTGAGATGATTTATTCCATCTTCTTTTAATCTTTTTATTTATATTCATTCAATACTTTTTCCCATTTAAGAATTTAGAAAATTTATCTCCACTTGGACAAGATTCCCCAGTCAATCTAAATTTCAAATACAGTTGGATATGGTTACGATTTTGTAGATTGAAATCTCGTTTCGACAAATTGACAAGTGTATTATTTATTCCAAAGTCATCAAATGAAATGGAATCAGTTTTATCGAATTCAACAGATCATGGTCATTCAAGAATACCCGATCTTTTAGAATTGGGTTGTACAATTCATCAAGTAGGTTATTTTATTTAATTGTATATTTCCTTAGCACAGTTAGTTAGAATATCAAGAAATTGGACACAATTCAGTCATCAATCGACTGATGTTAGACCACCGTTATAAACCTGAAAGCACTGGATGGCCGTTTCGTCCAAGTATGGGACTCCTCAGCAGTGCGCATCCATGATCCCGCTCGCGGGATTTGAACCCAGGGCTTTCAGTCTCGCGTGCGAACACTTAACCTACTGGACCACTGAGATGGCATCCAATGGTGTTAGGGTCTAACATCAACGGTGGTCTAACATCAGTCTATTTATGATCTCAATCTAAAACTTAATAATCTCCACAACCCCAATGCTGACAAGTCAGTCAGTCAATAAGTTATACACATTGTAGAACCCGGATTAAGTTTCTACGCTACATCAGTATAGCGAGATATCACAGTAGTATAAATAATAGCAGTATCAATGATAATAGAAAAGACTAGGTGTAAGATATAAGATTTACAAAGAAAGTATGGATACGGATAAAAAAGAACTTTGTTTTGACTTAATATCGAAACTTAGAAGCTGAAGGAAAACAAAGAATTAATACACCTTTGCCACTGCGGATGATTCTGAACTGTTTCAATCATAATTTCTAGTAATTGGTTGAAACTATCGAGTAGACTGTAACCAGATAGTCTGCATCCACCCTACATGGCTCGGGTCATTAATCAGTGACTTTATGGAGTGATGTCACATTTTAGTTCGAGTCCTTGTAACCTTCTTTCAAGATTGTGCATCTAGCTAGGCAGTGGTCAGGGGTACTTAATACGTGTTCCAAACACTTCATTCGATAAAGATTCACTTCCTTGTAAACTAATGTACCATTCTTACCTAGTACTCTGCGTCTAACCTCATTATTGCTCACTCGGTGGTCCTGACGTATTGAAGCAATGCTTCGATAGGGCCTATCACTAGTACGCTGCGAATATCCTATGTTTTTATAGGTCTTATTTCACAGCTATAATATAAAACGGAACCAACTGCTCTACAGTATACCTGTATTTTGAATAGAATAGGTTTACACAACCATTACAGACTTTGGTGCATACTATTGACTACAGTAGGAATAGGTTGGGATAAAACTAGCATCAATTTATATAGTTACTGAGTGATTTTCTGAGCTTTCTTAATAGGCGGTTTATACACCAACTGGAAGTTTTATGAAAGAATATGTAGTACGTATACCGTTAGTCCTACATATATAAGTCACCGAAGTCGGTCCTCTGTTGATGGTAAAACTTGTTAGACCGGTTAACTCTATTCTGTATACATGCATATCAAACTCTTGTATTAGTTACACAGTGTGTTGAGACTAAAAATGAACAGTCTTTTGATGATTGCCTGGGAAGTCCTACTCACTGCCTTCTCGTGGTAGGGGTGTTGTTTACGAAATTGAGAGGACGAAAAGCGAATGTCCGACACTTTAATCGGGTTGGTGGACATGAAGAGTCCACCAAAGGGAGTTGGAAAACGCTCATTCCAAACCATTGGTGCACATGGGCTCCAGTATCCTAAGGGAACAAATGGCGTATGAACCAATGGTTGGTGACCGGCTACCATGTGATTTCATCTCCTTACATTGTTCCATTGTCTTGTAGATCAGACGTTCAGGTCGAAGGCTCTGAGTGTGGCCCCCTAATAGAACCCACCTGCTTCGGTTTGGGTACCCTGGCAGTATCATAGCCCTCACACAAATCAAATGAGATTTGTGTGGCGCATATATATATTTGGTCCCTCTTTGTACCAATATCTATGTGTTCAAACAATAGTAATACAAATACTTTTGATGATACAAATGATCAAATACGAGAATTTGTTGATTATTTCTATCTTGAATAATCTAGATTTGATAAGTAAACAGCATAAATCCTTACATTACATCTCTATACTCTCAAACGATCTTGTGATGACTGCATTAACACTGGGAATTGTGTTTCATGTTGCTTAAATCGCTATAGGATACTTATTGGTTCTATTGGTAAGAAAATTAATATTTTTCGTCAAACTATTTTATTTATTATTTATTTTATTTTGACACATAAGTATAAGTACAGGGAGGCACCAAGTACATATGCGCCACACAAATCAATTTTGATTTGTGTGAGGGCTGTGATACTGCCCGGGTGCCCAAACCAAAGCAGGTGGTTTTCTTAGGGGGCCACACCCCAAGCCTTCGACCTGAACGCCTAACCCACAAGGCAATGGAGCATCGTAAGGAGATGCAGTCCCATGGTAGCCGGTGACCAACGATTGGTTCATACGCCATTTGTTCCTTCAGGATACTGGAGCCAACCCATGTGCACCATTGGTTTGGGGTCCGGTTAAAGAGCCGGACATTCGCTTTTCGTCCTCTCATTTTCGTAAACAACACCCCGGCCACGAGAAACTTAGAATTACCCCTCTTACAATTATTCCATAAGAACATTCTTTACTTACCTACTTTGATCTCATCAAGAATTCAATAGGATATCATTAATGATTACTACTGATATACTTATTGACCGATTAGTAAAAAAAAAAACTTTTATATTATCTTATATATTTCTTCATTGATTTAGATTCAACTATTGTCAACATTGGCGAAATATTGGTTCATGGGAAAGAATTACAATTCCACTATTCATAGTCCTAAACAATTTCATTTATCAACTAAATTATCATCAATTTCAAAACAACATCCTATAGAATTCAGTATTAAAACTTATTTATCTTATGCAAAACTTGTTATGTTTCTATTTCGTTTAGGTTTATTACCACAAGCAAATGACAAGTGAGTTATGGTTGTTGTTTTTTTTTTTATTTATTTCTCATTAAAATCTTCTTATGTTTCATTGTATTTTCACTAGGTCAGTATTATTATTATTTATTTATTTATTTGAACATATAGATATCGGTACAAGGAGGTATCAAATACATATGCACCACACAGATCTCATTTGATATGTGTGAGGGATGTGATACTGCCTGGGTGCCCAAAACGGAAGCAGGTGGTTTTCTTAGGGAGCCACACCCGGAGCCTTCGACCTGAAGATGTGATCTACAAGGCAGAGAAGCATCGTAAGGAGATGCATTCCCATGGTAGCCAGTGACCAATGTTTTTTCCATACGCCATTTGTTCCCTCAGGATACTGGAGCCAACCCATGTGCACCACTGGTTTGGGATCCGGTTAAAGCGCCGAACATTCGCTTTTCGTCCTCTCATTTTCGTAAGCAACACCCATTGTGCGAGAAGGCAGTGAATAGGACTTCCCTGTCAGAGGCTATATACGCGTGACCATGTGAGAGCATTTCGAGATGGAGAGCGGACTCTCACCACTCTCGACTGTACCAGGGCATTTGGGGGCTTATTTAGTTACTTACTTACGCCCGTTACTCCTAATGGAGCATAGGCCGCCGACCAGCATTCTTCAACCCACTTTGTCCTGAGCCTTCCTTTCTAGTTCTGTTCCATTGTTGTTCATTTTTCTCATGTCTGTCTTCATTCCTCGGCGTAATGTACTCTTTGGTCTTTTTTTTGACCTTGAAGATTCCATGTGAGGGCTTACCTTGTGATATAGTTGGATGCTTTCGTCAATGTATGTCCTATCCACTACCAGTGCCTCTTCCTGATTTCTTCCTCCGCTGGGATCTAATTTGTTCTCTCCCACAATAGGTTGTTGCTAATAGTGTCTGGCCAACGGAGTATCCTATCTAATTTTATGTTAAATAAACATGCACTAGAATGCTTAACTATTTTTAGGCCGATAGAAATCTAGATATTAATTTATACTATCTGAGAGGACCAAAGGCGAATGTCCGGCACTTTAACTGAGTTAATGGATATAGAGGATCGACCTAGGTGAATTAGAATACCCTGATTCCAAACCAATGGTGCATATGTGCTCTACAATCCTGAAGGAACAAATGGCGTATGAACCAGTTGTTGGTCACTGGCTACCATAGGACTACATCTCCTTACGATGTTCCACTGCCTTGTGGATCATATCTTCAGGTCGAAAGCTCCGGATGTAGCCTCATAAGATAACCACCTGTTTCGGTTTGGGCACTCCTGCAGTATCACAGCCCACACACAAATCAATGATAACTGTTTAGCGCATATATATTTGTCTCCTTGTACCCATATTTATTTGTTTAAATAAATACACGATCTGTATCTACATTGATATAAATTGATAAATAGGGTGAGTAATTCTCCTAGCTTCTAACATATAGACTACTTTGAACATCAGATATAGACAACTTACTACTCCCTGTCTTAGTTTCCACTAATTCGGGAATATAATGTTTCGAGTTCTTTACGAAAGTTGACAAGATGTACAACTTTATGGTTCAAGAAATTTGTAATGGAATAAGATATACCAATAGTTAAATGATTAAGGCAATAAGAAAGTCATATAAATGATTAAAAATGAGGTGTACAAATGCTTGAAAATGTAACTTTTAAAGTTTGCCCTTTATTCTTTTATTCATAACCCCCCCCGCTTTTTTTCATTATTGAAGGTTGTGTCACTACCATTTATAAGATGCATATCGTAGAGAAATGGTTTGTATTGTGGTCTTTGAAAAGTTACCGATTTCAGTGATAATTAATGACTGTTATACTATCTTTCCGAGATGATGTAGACGGTTTGTAGGTCGGGTGGAGTTTTGTTCTCTAAGCTGGATAGTTTTGTCTTGGAACTTTCATTGTTCTTCTGAATAACACTGTTAGCACAAACTTCAGATGGAAGTGATGTGTTTGAATTTCTTCACATGTGACTCATAGCTTATTCTGTCGACCAATAAATAACCAATCAAGATCTAGGTCGACAAAATAAGCTCTGAGTCACATATGGAGAAATTCAAACATCTCACATCCATCTGAAATTTGTGCTAACAGTGTTATTCAGAAGAACAATGAAAGTTCCAAGACAAAACTATTCAACTCAGAGAACAGAACTCCACCTAAATACTGTCTTTCCCTTCCTCCTTCTTATCAATCATCTAATAACCACTTCCCCAAACAATACCTATTCAAATTTCCTATTTATCTTTGCCTACATCGTTGTAACACTAAGAATAACAATGACAACATCAGTTGATGTCTTTCATATATATATATATATATATATATATATATATATATATATATATATACCGCTCTTTGAATAATCTTGCAGTCTATATCAGTAGTATTACTTACTTACTTACGCATGTTACTCCTCGTGAAGGAGTATAGGCCGCTTACCAGCATTCTCCATCCAACCCTGTCCTGAGCAATCCTTTCCAGCTCTTTCCAGTTCTTATTCATCCCTTTCATATCCGCTTCTATTTCCCGACATAATGTGTTCTTTGGCCTTCCTCTTTTCCTCTTCCCTTTAGGATTTCAAGTTAGCGCTTATCTTGTAATGCAGTTTGATGATTTCAGTAGTATACTTCAAGTTAATGTCTTGTTTTTTTTTAATAATTTTTATTTCAGTAAATTCTTTACAGATTCATCCTATCCTATTAATAGTACAGTTCTTTCACCGTATAATTCATCAATGTTAACTGAAACAATTTCTGAATTACGATGTGTACGGCATCATCCTATTGATTTTGATATGAATACTAATACTACTACTAATACTACTATACTAATACTACTAATGACTGTAAAACTAATCGATTAACATCTCTTAGTGACCATATTCTTTATTCATCACTTCAAGCACCATCAAAGCATCTCAATAATCATCATACAAATGATAATTACTTGACGACTAATGAAGTTCATAATATCTGGAAGGAACAAGAACACTTAACATCCTCCTCCTCCACCTCCTCCTCCTCATCATCATCAGCTACATTGAAACCAACAAATTCATCTGATCATCTTAATCATAATCAATCTTTATTAGATAATTATGAATTACCAAATTGGTTAAATTATCCACCGAAAAATTTACAATCATTATGTGCTTTATGGCAATTACCATATAATCAACAAATTAAAAAATCACGATTAATTCTACTTGGATTTATATTATGTGATTCAGCAGCTGAAACATTATTTCATCAATCCAATGATAATAATGATTTTATGAATGAAGATATTACTGATATTAATCATCATGTTAGTAGTAATGAAAAGATTCAAACTACTCAAATAATTGATAATATGAAATCTGCGAATTCCAGTAGTTTACGTGCATTACAACTGGTAAGTGTAATGAATTCATTGTTTCTGTGTTTAATATGATATGATATTTGGTTGAACTGCACATTTATCAGTCAGTCAGTCATTCAGTCAGCTACAATGTAGGTCCACACACATATATGCATCGATTCAAGTTGTTATATCGCATTAGCACAACAAGATAAACATCGGATTCGTAGAAGTAGTCAATCAGTAAACAACGTAAAACTTTGTACGTATGTACATCAATTTGAGTTGCCACATTGCATTAGCGCAGAGATACAGTTGTCGTTTCAAATCTCGTAGTCGTAGAGGTAGTAAGGGTATAAACAGTAATCGGAAAGATTAGGGTTTGAAGATATTATTATTCAAAGAATATAATCCAGTGAAATAAGTTAGGGGCAGCCAAACCAAAACATGGCATCAGTGTTTGAAGTCACTAACTTCTGGTCTGAGCCATGTTGGTAGATGCAGACTACTTGGTTGAGGTACGCGTGACTATGGTAACCAATGGTTGGAGACTGTGTGTGACATGTCTCAGAATCGATCACAATGGTGTAGGTGTATACACTCTCTGTCTTCCCTTTCAACTATGAGATTAGAATCGTTTCATATCAATCATGTCGATTGATTTGATCAATGTAGTTTATCTATGAACCTTTGGTATTTAACTTTATATGGGACTAAATAGAGTGAAACGATTCCCTAGTTTCTTATAGATTTTATTGATTATCTAAGTATTTATTAGTCTAGAAATTTATTAATAGCTATGTTGTTTTGTCAGTAGTCATGGTAATAAGACTACTTTCATCTTGTATTGTCCCAAATAGACATCAATTATAAAACTTTCCACGAGTCAATTGAAGCTAGATCACCATGGAAAACCTGGAAGCACTGGATGGTCGTCTCGTCCTAGTATGGGACTCCTCAGTGGCAGTGCGCATCCACGACCTCGCCCCCTGCGAGATTCGGACCCAGGACCTCTCAGTCTCTCATGATTTCAACTAGTGAAGTTTCTAAAATCTTCACCAAACCCCTTCTGTTTCACTTTTGTTTGGAATTCTTTAACAGTGTATACTTGTAGTCTTAAATCAAGTTGAACTCAGTACCTTTAGATTTAATCGACTGTAACATGATTGATATCACTAATATTAAAGATGCCTTATTGAATTTGAAATAATGTTAGAATAATAACTACAATACTGATCGGTAAATGATATGCTATTATATAATATGGTTGAATGATAGCTATCTACAAGACAGTCAATCAGCTACAACGTAGGACCAAGCACATATATTCATCAGTCCAAGTCGCCATACCTTATTAGCACAACATGATGAATACCAATTTCATAGAAGTAGTGGTAGTCAGGTTTGCCTATCGTGATGAACCAATCGAGCTATACTGGCTAGAACAATCGTTCCTCAAGGTTCTACCATGCCAGATAGGTCGGTTGAAGAACGGTAAAACTAAAAGCAGCAAACCCAAGGTCGGAAGGCGAAGTCGTACTGCTGACTGTACAGAGGTGTGACGGTAGTTATGTGTTTCCTTCAAACAACCAGCATAACATCAGGGCTGCCTTCTCACAAAGAAGGGGGTGTGTGTTAGAAACGGTCAACACTAAAAATACACAGTTCGCCTTATCCGTCTCTGGCGCTAAGATCTCAACAAGCACGGAGCTAGCACGAAAATTACTCACAAAACTGTCGTGTGTGAACGACCTCAAACAGTTGTCTCTCGGGTACTGTGGTCACACTCTTAGGTCTCTAAGACCACCTATAATCCAATTTGTTTGTCAGGTACCTTCAAAAGAACAACCCTTCCTTACAAAATAATATACTTAGATGTCAAATAATTTGTACAAACAGTTTAACTTATATCTTAGTTATTTTTTTTTTATATTTTCAATTTTTATAGTGTCGTTATGTAATGTCTTTATTTATCAAAGAATTCCCTTCGGTTTATTCTCTTATCCCTACAATTATATCACTTTGGCTTATGGATCGAGGTTATTTTCAAGTAAATAACAAAAATTGTATTAATGTATTAATAATTTCTTTGTATATTTGTTGTATGTTTTGTGTCTATTATTACCATTTAATCTTGACTTTCTTTGATGTTCACTCATAGACTGGAACCTAGTACCGTTGGCTTCGAACATCATCGCGTTATCCACTTAGCTACTGAGTTCTGATAGCCATCTGCTTGTGCAATAGGGTAAAGTTTAAATTCATTTGGTGTTGTTTTTCTTGTATCCTCTTGGAGTGAACATCAACTTTGGGATGCAGGTGAAAAAATCTAGTTCACAATGAATAATTACCGTAAATAAATGAAATGTAATGAATTATAGGAAACTGAAGATTTTTTGATAAATGAAGAATATCAGTATAGGATTGTGGAGATAGTTGAGTTTAGATTGATATCATAAATGGATCCATGTTCGACTATTATTGAAAACCTGGAAACACTGGATGGCTCAGTATTGACTGGTTTCAAGACGGATTTCCTGGAGTTCTAGTGAGAAGCCGTGACCAGTGGATTTCAACCGTGCCTGTTGTGAGACAGTTACTCACTGAAGACAATGGTGGGCGGTCGAGCAATATTGTGGATTGGTTGACGTTAGACATTAACACTGTTGAATGCCAGCTCACAGTGGTCTAAATGTTAACCGTTAGTGCGCGAGACCGAAGGTCTTGGGTTCCAACCCCGCATGTGGGATCGTGGATGTGCACTACTGGAGAACCCCATACTAAGACGAGACGGTCGTCCAGTGCCTCCAGGTTCTCAATGGTGGTTTAACATTGATCCATTCATGATATCAATCTAAAATGAAAAATAATTATAATTGTATTATTGCGAGAAATTCTGTTCCATTCCATCCAGCGTTTCTATTTACGTAGAATGAGATTATCATGCATATTATTATGAAGAAATCCAAAATTATGAACAGAGCTTCGTTTAGTTGTCAATAACTTCATGGATAAATGTCACGCGTTCGTTTGACACTATTCTTAGCATTCTCACAATCTACTTGTTTGTAAGCCAGTATTATGGATCGTTTGCACAACTACACACTTACGTCATCTATGGCGTAGGCGAGATATCCGTCTATCAATTAAGGGACGAGTATACTGCGCGGCAGTTCGTTCCGTTCTACTATACGGCTGCGAAACTTGGCCTTTAAGAGTAGAAGATATTCGTAAGTTACTAGTATTTGACCACAGGTGCCTTAGAAATATTGCGGGTATCTGCTGGGATCACCGGGTAAGTAATAGTGAGGTTAGACGCAGGGTATTAGGAAATGATGGTAAATCAGTTGATTAGGTTATGGACCTTCATCGACTGAGATGGTTGGGTCACGTGCTGCGTATGCCTGAACACCGATTACCACGACGCGCAATGGTAACTAGTGTAGGGGATAATTGGAAGAAAGTTAGGGGCGGCCAAACCAAAACGTGGCATCAGTCATTGAAGTCACTAACTTCTGGTCTGAGCCATGTTAATAGATGCAGACTACTTGGTTGGGGTCTGCGTGACTATCATAACTAATGGTTGGAGACTCTGAGTGACATGGCTCAGAATCGATCACAATGGTGTAGGTGTATACACTCTCTGTCTTCCTTTAAACTAAGAGATTAAAATCACTTCAAATCTTTCTTTCTACGAACTAATTCTATCTTCCTGTACTATATCCTTATACACACTCTTTCTTCTATATATTACCACCACTGAATTAACTACTTCTATGAATCCGGTGTTCATCTTGTTGTGCTAATGCGGTATGGCAACTTGGACCGATGCATATACGTGCCTGGTCCTACGTTGCAGCTGACTGACTGACTGACTGCACAACTACACATAGTATCTTATTAGTACAAGCTCGTCTTATCATTGAACAGTTTAGTTGTTTCATGATAGAATGTATTGTTTGTTCAAAACAAACAGTTAATGGTACATACGCTTAATTTTGACGTTATAGACTCTTTTGTTCTTAGTAACCTCAATAGGTGTGTAACCCCCGTACTAGGCGAACAAATTCATATCAGTAGTTATTATTGTGATTATATTGGTTGTTCTGTCTTAACCCCTGTAAACGTTTTGATTAATGTTACTGTTGCAATCGAAGTCTGAAATTAGAATGACTGAATGGATCCTAGATATCATTTGATACATCATTATTTCTTAATTCTACCTAAACTATCTTTTATTTCGAAGTATTGGAAGAAAAATGTAGCCAATAGACCTATGAAGGTAATCACTTTCAGACAATGTCATCAGAATGGACTGATTTTTGCTCTGGGGGGGGGAATACTCAATCTTTTATAACACACACTATGGTAGATTGTTTAATTATAGGGTAGTAAGACTATAAGTAACAAACTTATATTCAGAGGATGAAGCCTTCTTATCTTAATTTACAAGAGTATAACAGCAATAAGGTGTTTCTCTCACACATTTAACATTTTTATTGGTTTTGCCTTTTCACATTAAAACGGGAAGGTAAAGAAAGGTCGGCCCTAAAAGTGATCCAGAAAACTCGCAAAAGACAAGATAGGCTCAGGAAACACCAAGAAGCATTTTATCCAATGTGAGCCTTTAGTGTGAAAATTGTTGGGGAGATCTAGAAAACTCTTCGGAAAAGCCAAATAGGTTTTGAAAACGCTAAGAAACATCTTATCCAATCAGCACTCGCAAGAAGTTTACCCAGAAACATCAAGAAAGTGAAAAGTCACATGTAGAGTTTCTGATTGGATGATTACTATACTATTACTACTACTATATTTAGTAGCATTCCAGCATTTTCGGGAAACCCAAGGACGTCTAAAATATTATAAAATCCCGAGATTTTCTGTACTAAAACGAACTTTTAGAGTAAAGCGCCTGTCGTATATTTTGTGCCTTTTCTCTCGTGTTCAGGCCACTGTATAGTTCTAGCTCGTGGGTTACGAGAATAGCTTAGGAACCGAATATAACGTTCAATTGCCCCCCCCCCCTTCCAGCCAAACAAGTTGGTGAAGCCTGGTAGGCCCTTCTGGAGAGAAACAAGCCACATCGAAGCACGGCACAACTACCGGGGCTAGAATAGTTGTTTCTGCAATCCTTTGGGGTTTGCCCAATGGCGAGCAACTCCATATGATACATGCACCACTTTCGATATTTTTTTGTCGTTTTCCATTCCAAATGTAATTGTGCTATGTTTCTCTGTGGATTTCGTAATCAGTTGGTGGGTATAGGTCGAGTGGGTGATTAGCCTGATCTCTACCACCCGGGTTACCGCTCACGTTAGTTCATGAGACATTCATCTCACTATCCAGGGGGCACGACGCGGACGTGTGAGTCGGATTTTGCCTCCCATAACGTTCAATTAGCAAGACTTATCAGTATAGCATACCCCACGTTGTCCTATAGATTCCCATCGTCCATAGTATGGTTTAGAAAGTACAGAGCTGATACATCACTAACACTACTCATAAAAAAGAAAACACTATTTGACTGCCCTTGAGCAGTTGTCCTTTTGGTTCTGCAGTCACATTCTCAGGTCGTTAAGACCAATCGTAACCAGATTTATTTTTCAGGTCCTTCAAGAAAGTGTATCATTTCACATTGTGAACAATCTGTGAGTGATAACCACCATCATACCTCTAGTAACATTCGAGATTGATTTTTACTGGACATAGATTATATCATGTGGAACAGTCAAATCAAACACTTTATTGATTTCAATATGATCATCATCACCATCATCTTGTATTTATATTGTTTGAAATGACCTAATACATAATACACTTTCAATGGTTAAGATCATGAGTTAGTTGAAGCTAGACCACCATGAAAAACCTGGAATCACTGGACGGCTGTTTCGTCCTATTTTGGGACTCCTCATTGGCAATGAGCATCCACGATCCCCCCCGCGAGATTCAAACCTCAGAACCTACTGGTTTCGCGCGCGACCACTTAACCACTAGACCACTGAGCCAACATCCAACGGTGTTAATGTCTAACTTCAACTAATCCACGAAATTGAGCGACACATCCACCATTGTCTTCAATGAGTTACTAACTCACAACAGATCTGGTTGAACTCCACTGGTCACTACTTCTCACTAGAACTTCAGGATATATACCTCTTGAAGCCAGTCACTAGTGAACATATTTTGATTAATATCAGAAGGGGGTTTTGTGGAGATTGTAGTAATTTCAATGGTTAAGATCATTAGTCAATTTTTTAAATAAACTCATTTCTTTTCATTCTGTATTCTAGGAGTCTATATCTTCTGATATTATATCCTTCATTATGAACTCTACTGAAATACAATCATCATCAATATCATCATACTATCAAATCCATAATGATCTTTTCCCAAATCAAACTAATTTCATCATACATTTATTCAAGAAATATGGTCAAGATGATTTAATTCATGATTTATTGAAACATTTCATCAATTCTAATCATAACAATTCTTCATTATTGAATTACAATTCAAACAATTTGAAAGTAAAACTATCATTTCAACAATTATTCAATAAGATTACTTCTACTACTACTGGTACTACTACTAGTACTACTACTGCGACTACGACTACCCCTACTTCTACCATTGTGAATCATATTAATAATAATAATGATCATAAATTAAACATGAAACCTATTGGTGCTCCATATTTGGCTTTATCAAAATTACGTAATTTAATTCATAAAATGAATCGTTTACATAATCAAATATCATTACCAATGAAAGTATTAAATTCTATTGACAAATTAGCACGTAATTCATTAATTCAATTAGCTGAAATATGTAGACAAGGTGAGATGATATTTCTAAGTTTGTAAATTATATATTCATTTATAAGTAAAGATAAATAGTTGCTAGCAATAGGATCAAGGATAGGCGTTTCGTCAGCTGAATGTAACTTTATCTTAGAGTTGATGTTCACGCCGAGATTCGAATCCAAAACCGTTCGCTTTGAATGTTATTGCGTTATCCATTCACCTACTGAGTCCTGATAGCCACTTGCTTATGTACTACAAAGTGGATGTGTATAAATTATTTCCGTTTTAAATGTTTTTGATTAGTAACTAGCATTGAAGTTCAATACATGCGTAGGACTCTTTAAATGATTATACCCGTTTGAACGTGGTACCTATTACTTCAAACATCAGAGACTTATAATCTAGATTACTGAGTTATGATAATCACTAAATCAAGATTTTCACTTAATAAGCCTATCATGCTAACAAAAAAAACCGATCAGATGCAAATTGTGAATATCAACAGTAAAAAAATATATAGATCTTCAGGAATGATAGGCACTTTTTTTACGTGTTATTGTTTTGAATCAATGTAATATTGTTTCTCAGAATAAGAAAGTTTGCGGGGATTCCTAAGTTCCATAGTCTACATCATACATCAACCACCAAATTTTAAGTCAGTAGTCTTATTTATTTATTTATTTTAACACATAGATAATGGTACAAGGAGGCACCAAATACATATGCGCCACATAGATCTCATTTCATATGTGTGAGGGCTGTGATACCGCCTGGGTGCCCTAACCGAAACAGGTGGTTTTCTTAGGAGGCCACACCCGGAGCCTTCGACCTGGAGATCTGATCCACAAGGCAGTGGAACATCGTAAAGAGTTGTAGTCCCATGGTAGCCGGTGACCAACGATTGGTTCATACGTCATTTGTTCCTTCAGGATACTGGAGCTATCCCATGTGCACGATTGGTTTGGGATCTGGTTAGAGCGACGGACATTTGCTTTTCGTCCTCTCATTTTCGTAAACAACACCCATGGTGCGAGAAGGCAGTGAGTAGGACTTCTCTGGCAGAGGCTATATACGCGTGGACATGTGAAAGCAATTTGTGGGGGGGGGCAGCAGACTTTCCTCACTCTCGGCCGTACCAGGGCATTTGGGGACGAGTCCGAAAAGTTTTGGGTTTGGTCCTCAATGTGGTCATGCGTACTCACTGCTCAAAAGTCCTGTAATACTACTACTACTACTACAATGAAACAGTTATCCAGTACGTCGTAATTTTTAATAATTATCTAACTAAGATAAGTTCTTGGTTTAAAGTATGAAATTCCATTTGTACTTCTTATATGTTTACTACATTGATCGATTTTATCTCTTTGTTTCCCTTCTGGTTTTTCTTTCTTTTTTTATTTATTTAGCTGGTCGTTTAAGTGATTTAATTAGTTTAGGTTTAAATAGTTGGGAAGCAAAAGTATTATTTGAATATTATGAAAAAACTGGACAACAGAATTTATTATTTCATTGTTTAATTGCACGTTCACAATATCAGGTTAGTATTGATATATCTGTAATTTCAATTGTGTTTCTATATCTATATACATTAGTGTGTATACTATTTATTATTTATTTATTTTAACACATAGATATCGGTACAAGAAGGCACCAAATACATATGCGCCACACAGATCTCATTTGATATGTGTGAGGGATGTGATACTTCCCGGGTGCCCAGACCGGAGCAGATGGTTTTCATAGGGGGACACACTCCCAGCCTTCGGCCTAAAGGTCTGACCCACAAGGCAGTGGAGCATCGTGAAGAGATGCAGTCACATGGTAGCCGGTGACCAACGATCGGTTCATACGTCATTTGTTCCTTCAGGATACTGGAGCCCATGTGCACCATTGGTTTGGGATCCGGTTAGAGAGACGGACATTTGCTTTTCGTCCTCTCATTTTCGTAAACAACACCCATTGTGCGAGAAGGCAGTGAGTAGGACTTCCCTGGCAGAGGCTATATACGCGTGGCGGTGTGAGAGCATTTCTAGATGGAGAGCGGACTCTCACCACTCTCGGCCATACCAGGGCATTTGGGGGCTTAGTGTGTATACATTTGGATACATCTTTTCTAATTCAAAATTGGCGGGAAAATCTAAAGTGTATCCGAAATTTATTATAATATCTTAATGTTTCTTACTTCATATTGACTTTTAAGAGCTCCAAATGCCTTGATATGGCCGAGGGTAAAGAGAGTCCGCTCTCCCTCGAAAAATACTCTTACATGACCACACATACATAGACACTGTCGGGGAAGTACTAATCATTGTTTTCTCGTGGCAAGGGTGTTGTTTACAAAATGCAGAGGACGAAAAGTGAATGTTTGGCTTTTAAACCAGGTTGGTGGATATGAGGGATGCACCTAGGAGAGTTGAAAAGCATTGGTTCCAAACCAATCGTGCACATGGGCTCCAAGATCTTGAAGTAACGAATGGCGTTCGAAGCTACTGTTGGTCACTGACTACCATGGGACTGCATCTCCTAACGTGTTTCCACTGCCGCCTTATGGATTAGACCTTTAGGTCGAAGGCTTTGAGTGTGGCCTCCTAAGAAAACCATCTGTTTCTGTTTGGGCACTCATTCAGTATCACAGCCCCCACACAAATCAATGATAACTGTTTGGCGCTTATAAATTCGGTGCCTACTTGTACCGAATTTTATGTTTTTAGATAAATAATTCAATGAAACACATCAAATATCAGCACTCTCAACAAATGTATATCAAAAACAGCTTTTGAATGAGTTAGGGGCGGCCAAATCAAAACGTGGCATCAGTGCTTGAAGTCACTAACTTCTAGTCTGATCCATATTGGTAAATGCAGACTACTTGGTTGGCATCCGCGTTACTATCGTAACCGATGGTTGGAGATTGTGTATGTGACATGGCTCAGAATTGATCACAATGGCGTTGATGTTTACACTATTTGTTTTCCCTTAATTTATGAGATTAAAATTGCTTTATATCTTTCTTCCTACCAACTAATTCTTTCTTCCTGTACTATGTCCTTATATACAATCTTTCTTTTATATATTAATACCATTGAAGTGACTACTTCTATGAATTTGGTGTTTATTTTATTGTGCTAATGAGGTATGGCAACTTGTTTCTGGTCCTACATTATAGCTGACTGACAGACCTACGATCTTATATTCAAATGTTCACAATCTATTCCTGTACAATATTTTATTGACTGACAACTATTTCTTATCTTCATAATTTGTAGACTGCTATGGAAATATTCAATAGTTACCATGGTGTATTACCATATGATAAAACTAGATTATTACATAATAATACAATTAATTCTACTATTATTGATCATAATGATGAACATGTTCAACGATTACAACTTGATTTAATGATACAATTAATGAATTCATGTCTTCCATTATTAAATACAACTAATGAATTCAATAAGAAATCTATTCAATCTAATTATTATTATCATCATCATCAAATGGATCATTATAAAGCATTAGCAAATGAATATGTGAATATGGATGATATTCAAACGAATTCTGAATCATCTTCATTGATTCCCCATGATGATGATCATGATCATGATCATCGTCTTCGTCAACCATCATCCTCATCATTATTATCATCATCATCATTCACACAATCACAATTATCATTACCACAAATGGATAATAGAGATTTTATCGCTTATAAACAAACTACTCCATTAATCTATCCATTAACGGATTTAAAAAAATCTAATCCATTAAAAAAACCTACATCTTCATTATCAGCATTATCATCAAATAAGTATCAATTGAATTCTTGTATTGGTAATCCTTATTCATATGGTGATATAGATGATAATCATGATAATCAGGATGATGATCGTCATCTTATAGAAGATGAAATGATTAGAAATAATCGTATTAACAAGTCCAATTCATGGTTATTAACTACAAATAAAAAAAGTCGACAAGAATTTTGGAATACATTCAAAGAGTCAGTTTTGTTTCTTTTTTCTTTTTGATCTAACAGTCACTACTTATTCAAAGCCCCCCCCCTCAACTGCCCTGGTACGGTCGAGAGTGAGGAGAGTTCACTCACTCTCTCGAAATGCTCTCACATGACCACGCGTACACAGCCACTGTCAGGGAAGTCCTACCCACTGCCTTCTCGTGGCGGGGGTGTTGTTTACAAACTTGAGAGAACGAAAAGCGAATGTCCAGCACTCCAACCGGGTTGGTGGACATGCAGAGTCCACCTAGGGGAGTTGGAAAACCCTCATTCCAAACTAGTGGTGTACATGGGCTCCAGTATCCTGAGGGAACAAACGACGTTTGAACCAATTCTTGGTCACCGAATACCATGGGAATGCATCTCCTTACGATGCTTCACTGTCTTATGGATCAGACCTTCAGGTCGAAGGCTCGGGTGTGGCCCCCTAATAGAACCCACCTGTTTCGGTTTGGGCACTCAGGCATTATCACAGCCCTCGCACATATCAAATGAGATTTATGTGGCGCATATATATCTGGTGCCCTTCCCTTGTACCAATATCTGTGTGTTTAAATAAAATTAGTGGAACAATGAAAAGAGGTATTTCATTTGTAATCAAATAGTTGGTTGTATAGTTTCATAAATAAAAAACTATTCAGCCTCTAGTTGAAGCGATTTTTTTGTGGATCTGTTTAATTTATTAGTTGTGTTCGTCATGGATTGATCTTAGTTTTGATACTATTTAAAACCAGGAAACATTTTAGACATCCATTGAATCTAAATGTGAGATTCTTTAGCAGAGCTCTATCATTAAATGATGGTCACTCTATATCGGAAATCGATTGATATTGGAATTGTACCTTCATATATTGACCTGATGGTTCTAATGGTGAAACGTTCACTGTTGGATTTGATGGTCCTAGATTCAATACCTGGTGTAATCATTAGTTCAGACTGGGATGAAACAGCTATTCAGTACTTCTTGATTTTCAATGGTACTCTATCTCTATTCTGTGATCAATACAATTTACATTCATTGTTTGATTATTTTACATTTAAATGTACATGATAACAGACAAAGAAAATTTTGCTAAGGTAAAGTACTAACTGAATAGAAGAAAATTAGCAAAATCAGATGGATAATTGTTTACCTTGATAAAATACCAGGTTACTAGCAGCTGAAAGAGCATCACCAGTAGCAGAAAAGATTGGGTATAGAAAAGGAGATTGTATGATCCAAGTTCCAAAGAAAGACAAAAAGTGAATGGATATATGCGATTATGAATAACTCTAACCATTGGTTATAATAATCTTGCAGACCCCAATCAGGTAGTCTACACTAACCCACATGGTTCAGTTAAACAGTCAGCGTCTTCATGGACTGATGCCATGTCTTGGTTTATCCACGCTTGACTGGCTCCCAAACCATTTCTACACTAGATAACATTGCCCATCGAGGTTAGCAGTGGTTGGGATATTTGTCGCACATGTTCAACCACTTGACTTGATGAAAATTTACAACCTCATTAGTCGATTTACCATCTTTACCTTCTCATTTTTCCAATGATGACAGAAGTCTATTTTTAGTTATGTGTATATTAGTTATTCATCTTGTATATAGACTTCTAGCTATACATCTAATTTGATGTTGTTTTTTATTCTATGACGTAATTGGTTTAATTGCAGAGCTTTCATCAGTACTTAATTTATTTAATAATAAGCTTCCATAAACGCTAAATCGTTCCGCTATGATGTCCTTCTTTGCAGTTGGTTGTTTCTGTAGTTTTCGTTTTGCTTATTTGTCTTTTGTGGTGGTAACGTCTCTGACTGTGAAGCTGGGTAACACGGGATCGAATCTGCCAGGGGGCACTAGTTCCCTCAAAGATTACAGGTACACCTTGCTGAAGAGTGCCAGGTAGCACGAAACCCGGTTCCAGGGTTTCCTGTTGACTACCTCCAACCACCATCTAATATTTGCCTTTTGTTTCCAAGTCAATTTTCATGTTCGATTGAGCTCTGATAATGTGATTGTTTGAATTTTTTCTTATGGGTTGATAGATCGATTAGATTTAGATCTGCTAACTAATTGTCGATAGACCTGAATATCATGCTTCTTGAAACCTTCTAACATTAATATTTCCTCGGTTCAGAATTTCGATGTTTTTTCCAGTTGAATTCACGTCTTTGATTGCCTAAGTGTATTGGTATTAACAATAACTTATCTCGTCGTTTCACTAATGGTTTATTTTGTATATAAGTTTATAGATGCCCCCCGACCGTTGTTGCTACGTTGACGTGGTGGTCGAGCTTGCCTATCGTGATGAACCATTCGAGCTATAATGGCTAGAACAGTTTTTCTCAAGGTCATACCATGTCAGACAGGTCGGTTGAAGAGCGATAAGACTAAAAGCAACAAATCCAAGGTCCGAAGACGAAGACGTACTGCTGAATGTACAGAGGTGTGACAGCAGTATGGTGTTTTCTTCAAACAACCATCATAACAGCGATGCTGCCTTCCCACAAGGAGGGTTGGGGTTAGAAAAGGTCGACCCTAAAAATGCACACCTCGCCTTATCCCATGGATATCCGTCTCCGGCAGTAAGGTCTCAACAAGTATAGAGCTAACACAAAAACTACTCATAAAACAATCATGCGTGACCGACCTCAAGCAGTTATCCTTTGGGCACTGCCGTCACGCTCTCAGGTCACTATGATCGATAAAATTATACTTTTATACAGTTCATTATTTCACTGGTTGAAATCATGAGTCCATTGAAGCTAGACCACCATGAAAAACCTGGAGGCACTAGACGGCCGTTTCTTCGTAGTATGGGACTTCTCAGTAGCAGTGCGCATCCACGATCTTGCCCCCCCCATGAGATTCGAACCCAGGTCTATCTGTCTCGCGCCAGGCGCTTAACCAACTAGACTACTAAGCCGGCATTATTTGTTTAGAATTCATGTATGATTTACTTGAATCTCAGGGATTGTTTGGATTAATCACTTCTAGAATACTTTTATATATAACTTCCTATGAAATAGAATGGTGCCTCACCACATTACGTTCGCATACTCATAGTTATAGTTCATGGATTTATAAAAAATACACACTTACAACTCCATACAAGATTAAACTGATAAGTCTTGCTAATTGAACGCTATATTCGGTTCCTAAGCTACTCTCCTAAAATACCTGCTAGAACTATACAGCGACCTGAACACGAGAGACAAGGAGCAAAATATGCGAGAAGTACTTTACTCCAAAGGTTCAATTTAATACAGAAATCTCGGGTTTTTATAGTATTTTAGATTTCCTTGGGTTTCCGGGAAATTCTGGAATTGCTACTAAACATATTAGCAGTATAGGTGATTATCCAATCAGAAACTCTACATGTGACTTTTCACTTTCTTAATGTTTCTGGCTAAAACCTCTAGTAGACTCTAATAGAATAAAATGCTTCTTAGTGTTTTCCTGAACCTTTGTTGACTTTTCTTTGAGGAGTTTTCCAGATCAGCTCAACATAAACTCATGACATCCAAGCTCTTTATATGTTGATCGCTAAGTTGAAACTTTATTTTCTATATTATAATTATTATAATACTAAAATCATCATTCTATCAAATTGTCTTTGTTTATATATTGAATTATAGATTACAAGATCTTCATGAAAGTTGTGGATTAAATTCAAATATTTGGTTAAATGATAGTCGTTGTCGTCTAATGGATTATACTACTATTAATACTACTAATTCAACAATAGTAACACCAACACAACCAGTTCATTTAAATGAATCTCGATTGAAATTAAATAAAAAACGTGAATACCCTACGAAAGATATTGATGATCTTGACAAGTACTTGTTTAAGTAAGTATATTTATTTAATAAAATTTTCTTGTATTATGACAGTTTCTTTATCGTTCTGCTTTACTTTACGGATGCGAAACATGGTCATTAAGGGTAAAGGATACTTTTAATTTACTAGAATTTAATCACAGATACCTTAGAAATATTTCTCACATCTACTAGGATCACTAGGTAAGTAGTAGTAAGGTTAGATGTAGGATATTAAGGAATGATGATAAATCAGTCGATGAAGTTGTAAATCTTCATCGGCTGAGATAGTTGGGCCATGTGTTACATATGTCTGAGCCCCCAAATGCCCTGGTACGGCCGAGAGTGGGGAGAGTTCGCTCTCCCTTTCCAAATACTCTCACATGGCCATGCGTATATAGCCTCTGCCAGGGAAGTCCTACTCACTGCCTTGTCGTGGCGGGGGTGTTGTTTACAAAAATGAGAGGACGAAAAGCGAATGTCTGGCGCTTTAACCGGACCCCAAACAAATGGTGCACATGGGCTCCAGTATCCTGAGGGAACAAATGGCGTATGAACCAATCGTTGTTCACCGGCTACCATGGGAGTGCATCTCCTCACGATACTCCACTGCCTTGTGGGTCAGACGTTCAGGTCGAAGGCTCGGGGTGTGACCCCCTAAGAAAACCACCTGTTTCGGTTTGGGCACTCGGTCAGTATCACAGCCCTCACACAAATCAATTGAGATCTGTGTGGCGCATATGTATTTGGTGCCTCGTTGTACCTATACTTATGTGTTAAATTAAATAAAATAAATACTACCATTTCATAAACTTTACTAATTGACGTTTGTTTTGTTTTTGTATCATCGTTGCAAATTTCATGGCATTAACTGTGACGGTTGATTCCTGGGGTTTTTTTTTTCAGTAATTCAATCCCATCTTTCAAAATAGCTTTATCAATCCTTACCGTCATTTAAAATTAGGCAAAGAACTAGTGAACGTTTCTTTTCAACGTCCAAATTTTATCATCGAAATTTCGATACACGACTTTGTTTTATCACATTATTATTATATTAGTGGTTACATGAAAGATTTTACCATCGAGTTACTCAATGGATCTTTTATACATATAGACGAGATTATAATTTATGGACGACTTTTGAACGAATCTTAAGTAACCTTGAGAAATATTAGCTATTCAGAAAACAGTTAGTTTACAGTAAAAATATACTATACAAAATTAAAAAAGCAAAGTGGATACACTTCTTTTATTTGGTTCAAAAACTTGTCAACGTTAGAAAGCGTTTCAGTGGTTCTATATGGTTCCATAATAGTAGGCCCCTGAAGCCATGATAAGGTTGCACAAATTCTTTCAGCTTCAACCATATAGCTTCAAAATTGTTTGTGTGCACTCTGGTTGTTGGATCTACAAAATGCCGCTTGCGGATAACGACACAATGCACATAACCAAGTGTATTTAGGCATATGTACGCTGTCCAATCATTCGGATATATTATAGTACCTGGTTGCAGCCAGTGCTTTTATTATCCAGTTCGCAACAATCATCATAAATTGTCTTAGTCTCAATCTGGATCGAACAAAAAAAATCCTGTTCTAGCAGGCAACATCATCACGGTAGTCTGCACAAGTCATTTAATTACCATAATAACATATACAAAAACTTCTTGGTAATCCCATTTGTTGTAGCCGCTTAATTATCATGCTTTCTCTAAAATCCTCTGTGAACCGATCGTGCATGACCATCATTGTACCTGAAATTGACGCCATGACATTGAAATCCCTCAAATGCTTCTGATTAGCTCGTCCATAAATTATAGTCTCATTCAATCCACATTGAAGGGGTTAAAAAATAAGTCACATATTCTCAATCATCATTGCTATCTCAATGTACGAAATCTTGCTGTGATTGATTGATTTTAACACATAGATATTGGTACAAGGAGGCACCAAATACATATGCGCCACACAGATCTCATTTCATATGTGTGAGGGCTGTGATAGCGCCTGGGTGCCCTAACCGAAGCAAGTGGTTTTCTTAGGGAGCCACACCCGGAGCCTTCGACCTGAATGTCTGATCCACAAGGCAGTGGAGCATCGTAATGAAATGTAGTCCCATGTTAGCCGGTGAACAATGATTGGTTCATACGCCATTTATTCCTTCATAATACTGGAGCTAGCCCATGTGCATGATTGGTTAGGGATCCAGTTAAAGCTCCGGACATTCGCTTTTCGTCCTCTCATTTTCGTAAACAACAGTAATGCCACGAGAAGGCAATGAGTAGGACTTCCCTGACAGTGGCTGTATACGCGTGGTCATATGAGAGCATTTCGAGAGAATGAGTGTACTCTCCCTACTCTCGGCCGTACTAGGGCATTTGGGGGCGAAATCTTGCTGTATTGTAATAGTCATTCAATGTTGATCATACTTAACTCGTATCTTGTAATGTGTATATATCATTACTCTTATTGAAATAATCTAAACATTCTCTCTTCTATTATTTTAATCATATCTAGATGTATTTATACACCACCATCTTGTGGACGTAAACAAATTCATTCAAATATTATAACAAATCGTTTAATAACATCTACTGCTTCATTATTCAATAATTCACTGTCAAGTCCATTGAATCAAAAACCAATTTCTATTTTAAAGGTTTGTTAATTATGTATTAGAAATAATAATCATTATATCATCCTTATTGTTAATGGATATCCATAACTAACTTTAAATCTTTAATCGTCGAGGATGCTGGATCCTCAGAGTTCATTTGGTGTAAGGTTTCATTTTTGTAATTTTTATTTTGAAGGATTTGTGATAAGTCTTGCTAATTGAATACTAGATTAAGTTCCTAAATTCTTCTAGTAACCTCTAAACTAGATCTACACAAGAGAAAAGGTATGAATTATGGATGAAACGCTTTATTTCAATGGTTCGTTTATGTACAGAAAATCTAGGGTTTTTATTAGTATTTTGTATGACTTTGGGTCTCCGAAAAATTCTGGAACGCAACTAAGCGTTGTAGCAGTAAACATAATCATCCAATCAAAAACTCGATATGTGACGTTACACTTTCTAGATGTTTCAGACAAAACTCCTAGTAAATACTGATTCAATAAGATACTTTTTCTAGGAGTTTTCTGAATCTCCACAACCATTTGAATTTCTTATTTCTACGCCAAAGGTGCATATTTTTAACTTCAAATTGTATTTCCCATTTCGGAGGATCTTAGTTGTCATTGGTTCGTTTCTTATTTTAATACTCTATTTTTTGACGTTTCCCAAGGACATTTTTATATTACATATAAGCGCTTGAGTTGTGTGTTTGTTTGTTAGTGCTTCCGACTACTTATGGAATATAATTTTCCCTCATCTGAATCTGATGTTCTCCCTCTTGTTAGCTGGGCTGGGGCTCAGTGGTATAGTTTAGCTTATCTTGTTATTGTGTTGCTAACCTTCGTTCTGTTCGTCAGTTCAGGTAATATCTTAATCTTTTTAAACGTAGTACTAACACACCATCTTTAGTCTTACAGATTTTTAGTATCAGTTATAAAATTCTTTAATTACAGTGCTCTGGTGAGAAATACTACTCATATACAGATCTTGGATGATAGTCCCCAACTAACTTTCTCTCTCTTTAGTTTTTCGTTTTCGCTGTTTTATCAACATTATTTTTAGTAATAATTCAGATTCTTATTAAGATCTCTCTAATATGTGAAAGATATCTTCAGTGGTCTAGAGGTTAAGCGTTCGTGCGCGCGACCAATAGGTTCTGGGTTTGAATCCTACCGGCCGGTTATCGTGGATGCGCACTTCTGAAGAGTCCCACAATAGGACGAAATGGCCATTCAGTACTTGCAAGTTTTCCATGATGGTCTAGCTTCAACTGAATCATGATCTCAACTATTAGATTATTAATATTTTACATTTGTCCACAGCAACACTTTTTAATCTTCCATAATAGAAACTATCTGAATCATTACATAGTTCATTTTTAATTCCATATTGTTGTGCTTGGATCATCATTTAGTAGACTGAATCAATAGAAATTGATCAGTAGTTAAGGGATTATGATGCAATTTTTGTGAGATTATAATTTATGGACAACCTTTAAACGATGTTAAAGTGACATTGAGAGTTTCCATCTAATAACTAGGACCAATGGCAAGTTATAAAGTAGTGTGATGAATAAGAATTATGATTTACAGTTGATGGTTAAGGTTAGGAATTAGATTAAGGGTTTTCATCATGAACCGACATCATCTATAATGCCAAAACTCTATATATTCAAATATACCAAATGCCCTGGTACGGCCGAGAGTGGGGAGAGTCCGCTCTCACATGGCCATGCGTATATAGCCCCTGCCAGGGAAGTCCTACTCACTGCCTTCTCGTGGCGGGGGTGTTGTTTACGAAAATGAGAGGACGAAAAGCGAATGTCTGGCGCTTTAACCGGACCCCAAACAAATGGTGCACATGGGTTGGCTCCGGTATCCTGCGGGAATAAATGGCGTATGAAGCAATCGTTGGTCACCGGCTACCATGGGACTGCATCTCCTCACGATGCTCCACTGCCTTGTGGATCAGACTTTCAGGTCGGAGGCTCGGGGTGTGGCCCCCTAAGAAAACCACCTGTTTCGGTTTGGGCACCCGGTCAGTATCACAGCCCTCACACAAATCAATTGAGATTTGTGTGGCGCATATGTATTTGGTGCCTCCCTGTACCTATACCTATGTGTTAAAATAATAATAATATATTCAAATGGATAAATGGGTTTCTCGTCACAATCCAAGTGTTGTTATTTTATATCTGATTGTGTTATAACTCTCTCTCTTACGGTTATAATCCAACTATTCGTATTGCTTAGTATTCTTGGACACCAATTCATTCGACAAGTCCCCAAATCAGAACACCATTGATGAACAGGAAAGAGATTATATTCCAAATAACAAGGTTAGATGGAAGTAAGAAACACAATAGGAAAAATGTTAGTATATTTATAGTTTTTACATGAGAAGATTCCAGAGTATTCTCCAAACATCGGCTAGCGCTGATTGGACAAGAATTAGCCAATTAGCGTACGTCAACGTGAATGTGCATTGAGTATGATTTAATCCAATCTATGTCCCGCTAACAGATTACTTCGTCCATAAATTGTAGTCTCACTGCAATTTTTATCTATGATAAACTGTGTAATAATTTGATCATTTAAACATTGATTCATTGTTCATAGTAACCATTTACTAATAGTACCTTTTTATTGTTGTTGTTGATATGTTTAGACTAAAATGTGTCTATCGAATAAAGAAATTTCGGTTTCGACAATGGCTAACTCTATGAAAACAACGATTACAACAACAACAACAACAACAGCAGCAGCAGCAACAGGAACGACGATTGTTTCTTCTTCTTCATCTTCATTATTCTCCACTTCTTTGAATCCTGTCATATCCTCCTCCTCCTCCTCCTCCACATCATCATCTTTATCACGTTCAACATATACAACAAATGTAACAAATTGTAGTAATATGAAAGATTTATCACATCTAATAAAAGAAAATAATTTATTAAGAAATGAATTACATATTAATAAAAATACTACTGATCAAGAAATCAGTAGTAAAATTTATGATAATGATGATGATTGTAATATTGATGAGAATGATGATTGTGATGTCACTTTAAATTTATCAACTGTTCGTCCAAGTAAGTACAACTTGATAATAATCTATGTATATTAAAGAATTAACAAGTTGAGAGAGAAAAGAATATTGTTACTATCATCAATAATTATCTTTCTTTAGTTCTTATTTATACCTTATCTATACCCCCCTCCAAATGCCGTGGTAGGACGGAGAATGGGGAAAGTTAGCTCTCCCTCCCGAAATGATCTAACATGAGCATTTGTATACTTGTTGCCTGCTCGTGGCACTACTGTTGTTTACGATATTGACAACACAAAAAGAGAATGTCTGTCGCTCTAATTGGGTTGATGGATACGGAGCATCTACCTAGGGGAGTTAGAGAACTCTGGTTCTAAATCGATGTTGCACATGGGTTCCAGAATCTTGAAGGAACAAATGACATGTGAACCGATTATTGATCACCGGTTACCATAAGACTGAATCTTCTGACGTTGCTCTACTACTGCCTTATGGATTAGACCTTTAGGTTGAAGGCTTCGGGAATGATCGCTGATTCAGGCACCTGAGCAGTATCACAGCCCACATACAAATCATCGTTTCATTTTTATCTTATCATGGAATCATTTTATCAATGTTCCAATAATTCCATACGAATGTTGGAAAAACTAACAAAACACGTTTATAAAAGTATTTATGACTTGATAGATGGGCTTACTTTAATATTTACTGAACTTTCCTGAAATAATAAAGTGTTCCTAATGAAAATTAGTTAATCATTTATAATGTAGGACCAGGCATATGAAAGTAATGCGCTTTTAAATAGTTTAAACCGATAGTAAACGTCAAGATGTTTATGAGTTACTTACTTACTTACTTACGCCTGTTACTCCTCGTGAAGGAGTATAGGCCACACACCAGCACTCTCCATTCAACCCTGTCCTGGACAATCTTTTCCAGCTCTTTCCAATCGTTATTCATATCTGCTTCTATATGCCGTTATAGTGTGTTCCTTGACCTTTCACTTTTCCACTTCCCTTCACGATTCCAAGTTAGAGATCATAAGTCAATCGAAGAAAGACCACCGTTGAAAACCTGGAAGCAATGGACGGTCTTTTCGTTCTAGTATACGACGCTTCAGCGATGGATATCAACGAACCCGTATGCGGGATTTAAAGCCAGGACCTTCGGTTTTTCATGTTAACGGTTAACCTCTAGACCATTATGAGCTGGCATCTAACGGTGTTAATGTCTAGCTTAAACCAATCCACAATATTGCGCAACCGTCCACTATTGTCTTTAGTGAGTAACTGACTCACAACAGATCCGGTTGAACTCCATTGGTCACGACTTCTCATTAGGATTCCTGGGATTATCCCATGGAGACTGTCGCTAGCGAGCACATAATAATTATAATCAGATAGAGGTTTTGTTAATATTATAGTAATTTAATAGTTGGATTCACAAGTCATTTGAAGCTAGACCACCATGGAAGCACTGGATGGTCATTTCGTTCTAGTATGAGATTCCTCAGCAGTGCGCATCCTCAATTCAGGTTTTCTAAGATGGTCCAGTTTCAATTGTAATTCATGAATTCAACTATTCAATTTTATGATTTCATTTCTGAACTAATATCCCCCCTAATAATCATCTAAATTATTCTCTTTTTTATAACAAACACAACAACAATCTATTTTAGGTATTGTGAATACAGAGAAATTTCAGCATAAATTAATACAGGATAATGTAAATAGTAAATGTAATGAATTCACTTTCTCCGCTCCTCATCGTCTCTCTTTAACATCATCGAATACAGTAAGATTCTTTTGTTTTTCTGTTTCCACCTGGGTTTTTTTCTTTTTAAATTAAATACTGAAGATTTATTTTGATCTTTTATAGTTGTGAATTAAATGGATGGATGGATACCCAATGAGTGAAGTGTCCCCCATATGATAAAGTCAAATAGTTGTACAGTTCTTTATACCTTTCTGTTATAACTTGTGATCTGTGAGCCCTGTTAATGGATAAGTAATGATACCACCAATTAGGGAGAAATGAAATATCGATCGGATCAATGACGCATAAACCTGTACGAACAGCCTAGAGTCCTGATTGATCATGCTTCCCGTCTATACCAGCCAGTTAAGTCCAGAACACCACTCTCAGCCCCTTCAATATAAACCATTTATTTCAAACATACTGGGTTTATATACTAACCAGACAGACCACACCGTACCATAAAATAGGAAACAACATTTAGACAACAATTAGTCAAATGTGGAATGCAGTGACTAATGGATAGGGCCTAATTCAAGAATGGTAAATTGTGTAGTAATAGTTCATAGGTGAAAATAAAGCTTATAATAAGAGGATTATGAATATGAATAGTTTAGTTATTTAACAATTATACGACAAAAATGTACGTATAGTATTGGTCCATAAATAGATCCCAAAGTTACCATTCATTATCTTTATCAAAAGCTCCGCCTGGAGTCCCTCCGGAGGCTACTGCTGGTCCTAAGCCCAGATAAAGGAGGATGGTTAGGTGTGGGGTTCGCGACCCAATTCCGTAGAAAGCTAACTCTCTAAAAAATGTAAAAAAACGCTAATGCTTATCGGGACCTAACACTTTCAATACATATTTGTATGTGAGATTATGAATCTTCACCGATTGAGATGGTTAAGTCATATACAATCCTAAATAATGTTGGGGATAGTTGGAAATACGTTAAGGTTGTCTAAACCCAATAAGCGACCTGCTTGAATATTTGGGTTATTTGTTCTTGCCATCTAGATATTTCAACAAGTTATCTGTTGTTTATTTGGTTTGTTTTAATACATCATTATATCAATTAATTGCATAACCTATTCAGGTATGTTTGTGAAAAGTTTAAGACTTTTTGCTGTATACGTTAGAAAAAAGCACTATTAGAGATATCATGGTTGCTGATAATGTACATCTCGAAAAGAATGTACATAATTTCGATGTCGATTCCTGAACTCCCAAGATCAAACTGGTGACCAGTCAATGTTTATCGTCAGAATTAATCTAGAAATAAGAAACAAAAACATGTTGAAATACTGTACAATGCCCTGGTACGGCCGAGAGTGGGGAGAGTCCGCTCTCCCTCTCGAAATGCTCTCACATGGCCACGCGTATATAGCCTCTGCCAGGGAAGTCCTATTCACTGGCTTCTCATGGTGGCGGTGTTGTTTACGAAAATGCGAGGACGAAAAGCGAATGTCCGGCACTTTAACCGGATCTCAAACCAATCGTGCACATGGGTTGTCTCTAGTATTCTGAAGGAACAAATGGCGTATGAAACAATGGTTGGTCACCGGCTACAATGGGACTGCATCTCCTTACGATGTTCCACTGTCTTGTGGATCAGAATAAATAAACTCTACACTTAGAATTCTATATTGTACGATAAGCATAGTATTGAATAAAGCTATTAATCTTTGTTCATTTATTCATTATATAGATGATGTATCTGTTTTTATATGAGAATGTTAACAAAATAATACCGTTCAGATGTTAGATAACTCAGTCAGCAACAAAGTAGAACTTCGTATGTACGTACGTACGTACGTACATCAGTTCAAGTTGCCATACCACATTAGCACAAAGATACAATTGTCGATTGAAATCCCATAGTGTTAGAGGTAGTAAAATTATAAGCAGTAATCCGAAAGATTAGGGTTTGATGATGTCATTCAAAGGGTATAATCCAATGAAATAAATTTCGAAAGAGAAAAAAATAATAAAGGGACATGAAGAATTCAGAAGATTAGACTTTGGGGCGAACAAAAAGAGTGGATTTTGAGCCATGTCATTCAAGGTCTCTAATCATCGGTTGTTATCGTCTCGAGGATTCCAACCATATAGTCGACACCTACCAGTATGTTAGATGGTTAGAGTTTCTAATTTTAAATCATTTAACTTGTTGACTACTATCAAAGACGATCACATTATACAATCTAATTCTTTCTCGATATGATCGAGTTATTTGTCCAGTTAATTCATAAACTACTCAAATCGGACAGTAGTAGTACAATTATGCGATACAAAGAAAATTAGGGTATCATCAAAATTGTTTCACTGTTTATATTCATTTGTTTCTTTTTTTTGTTTTGTTTTATTTTTCTCCCCCCCCTTGAAATAGCCAATCTTTAATAAATCTATCGAAAAGAATGAATTTCTATTTTCAGCACCATTAATAAATAAAACAATTAAACCTAACCAATCCATAGATAATAATGATATTGATCAAGTTTCAATTTTACCAATCTCAATGGATGAATCAAATCAATCCTCTTCTTCAACTATTAACAATAATGATTCCGATCAAAGTACTGTAAATTGCGATCAAATGAATACGGCTAAGAACACGTAAGATTTCTTCTTTGTATAAAGTTAACAATTAAGTATCAGTATAGGATTGTGAAGATTATTATGTTTTTGATTGAGATCATGAAACGATTGATGTTAGACCACCATCGAAAACCTAGAAGCACTAGATAGCCGTTTCTTCGTATCGTGGGACTCTTCAGCAATGCGCATTCACGATCCCACTCGCGAGATTCGAACCCAGGGCCTTCAGTCTCACACATGAACGCTTAACCTCTAGACCGCTTAGCCGGCATCTAGCGATGTTAATATCTAATCTTAACCAATCCGCAATACTTTGCGTCCATCTTCCATTGTACTGAATTAGATATTTGTCTCTACTCGTCACGGATTAACTCTACTGATCACGGCTTCTCACTAGAACTCCAAGAATTCCCTCACGAAGCTAGTCAGTAGTGAGCACATGATAATTATCAGTATAGGGTTATGAAGGTTATTATGTTTTTGATTGAAATCATGAACCGATTAATGTTAGACCACCATTGAAAACCTGGAAGCACTGGATGGCCGTTTCGTTCTATCGTGGGACTTGTCAACAGTGCGCATCCACAACCATGGAAGATTGTTGCTCAATATCGTGTATTGGTTGAGGTTAGACATTAACATCGTTAAATACCGACTCAGTGGTCTAGAGGTTAAGCGTTCGCGCGCGATACTGAAGTCCATGGGTTCGAATCCCCCGAACGGTATCGTGAATATGCATTACTAAGGAGGAGTCCCACAATAGGGCGGAGCAGCCGTTCAGTGCTTCCAGGTTTTCTATGGTAGTCTGACATCAATCAGTTCATGAAAATCAGAAAATTTTTTGTACAATAATTTATTATTGACATTATCCATGGAAGTTTATAGATTTGTTAACATGGATCAGTTTAGTTTTTAAAGGTTTCTACTGATAATCAACATTAGGTTATTGATTACACTTGTGTATTAGATGTTTAATTGTACAACTGTAATGAAATTCATAGGATAATACAACTGATGTGATGATAATTTTGAACTAAAACCTTAAATTGTTCCCAGAATATATTGCTTAAAATACAGGTAAATAATGTTCTAGCCAAACTGGTTGATTATGTCTTTTCTGTACATGCCTATGTAGGTTATTTTGGGATAGATGGCATGTTTTGAAGGATCAAAAATCCACCACGTGTATGTGATTTTGTGGGAAACAGTAGCTTCTCACGTCTTTGAATGTATCTTGGTATCGTAGGAAGAGCAAGAAAGTTTTTTTTAAGTTTTTAATTACCGTGGATAGGTATAGTCTACATGTATACTAGGTGATACATGAACTTTCATCCGAGTATTACTTGGTATACATACCCTTGTGAGCAAATATATGTTACATGCGTGCTGGTAACACACAGGTTTTATCTCATGCATCCCATAGGATACATATAGATATATCCACCCACTTGGGAGAGTAGATGTTCACCACTCCCTTAGAGACGCATTTGCTACAGCAGACGGTCTCTTACACATTACATACCTATCATCTAGTCTATGGCTACCACCCCAGTTACATCCTAACACCACGCATGAGCATGCTCTCAAATAAGGTTGTTGGTCACCTCTTCCTAGTATTCTCTACCATATATTTTTATTATGTCTTCGACCTGATAGAATAGGTCGCTGGTTTTATTAGACATAGGACAGACAATATTTCAACTAGCGTTTCCTATGTACGACACTAAACACACTCTTTACAAATACTTATATACATGAACTACATAGGCCTGATGACTTCTGTAATTCCCGTACATAAGCATAAGCCCGGTGTGGTTTACTAAACCTCAAATTAGAACCCGACTTAGTGAAGAATGTCACAGTGTGGGTGATCAGTCCGATCTCCATCAACCGCTTAAGTTGACTAATAAGGTTGCCTATACTATTCAGCAGCGCCGTGAGTAGACCTTAGGTCGAATTTTACTGCCACAAGTAAATAGAAGGAAGTAAATAGCAGAGTGCATTTGTTATTCAATTTTAACTCTATAGATCATCTATACTGATCATAAAGAGTGAAGTATTAGAGAAAGTTGATCATCTCACCACAGTTTGCTCTAGTCACCCTTATTTGATCTCTTTCTTCTTTTTCTATGAAGCTTTCCTATAAAATGTCAATGCTTATTTTCATATATTTGAATTTTATTTTGAACAGATACCTAATTGATCTGAACAATACACCTTCTCTTACTAAAGCTCCAATTTTCACACCTCCAAAATTACAAAATCCAACGCTTAATGTAAATCAAATTCATACTAATGAAACTACTCATCAGTTAATCAATAATGATTCCATTGATAATAAAGAAGATATTACTCCAAAAGTGACAATGAAATCACGCAGAACACGTGATCCACATTCTTATCATAAAACATCTATTCATTCATCACAACATACAACAGTAATGAATCTTGATCATTTAGATCGTATTCATCAACATCCTCATCATCATGATGAACATAATCATTATCATTCATATCAATCTATTGATATGGATGATTTTGATGATAATTCATCTGTAACAAGTTCTATGACTAATGATTCATCAGATACTGTACGTCGATCAACTAGACGTGTTCGACCACCGAAACGTTATGATTCTTCAGCTGTTTAATCATCTCATTTAAATTACTATACATTGTAATCATACTATTAAACTGGGGAATTTTTGTTTTAATGGTTCAATTTTCAAAAAAAAGAGAAAGAAAAAAAAGAATATTGATTATTTGTTACCCTATGTGTTTATATATAATCCATATTCATTGGAACATGTAAATGGATAAAAGTATGTACTGTGCATTTTGTTGTACAGTTTGTCTTTTTTTGTTTGTTTGTTTGTTTTAAATAAAAAATGAATTGATTCTTTAAAAAAAAGAATTTGTAAAGTGGATTATGATGTTCAGATTGTTTTGTCTGATGTTGAGTGGTTGTTGTCCTGGTACAACCGATAGTGGGAAGAGTCCGCTCTCCCTCTCGAAATGCTCTCACATGGCCACGTGTATATAACCTCTGCCAGGGAAGTCCTACTCACTGCCTTCATGTGACGGGGGTGTTGTCTACAAAACTGAGAGGACGAAAAGCGAATGTCCGGCACTTTAACCGGATCTCAAACCAATCGTGTACATGGGCTAGCTCCAGTATCCTGAAGGAACAAATGGTGTATGAAACAATCGTTGGTTACTGGCTACTATGGGACTGCATCTCCTTACGATGCTCCACTTCCTTGTGGGTTAGACGTTCAGGTCGAAGGCTCCGGGTGTGGCCCTCTAAGAAAACCACTTGCTTCGGTTTGGGCACCCGGGTAGTATCACAACCCTCACACAAATCAATTGAGATTTGTGTGGCGCATATATATTGTGTGCCTTCTTGTACCAATACCTATGTGTTAAAATAAATATAAATACCAAACAAATGACAGGTTTACTACACAACTATTCGTTCCGTCCTAGTTTATGGCAGTCAGTTATAGTCGGTAATAGTAGAAGATATCCATAGGTTACTAGTATTCGAAGCATTGCTCGTATATTCTGAGGTCACCGAGTAAGTAATGCAGTTGTTAGGAAACGGGTACTAGTTAAGGAAGGCAAATCTATTGATGAAGTAGTGAAAGTTGAGATAGCTGGGACATGTGTTACGTATGCCCAACTACCGACTACCCTGACGCGCGATGTTTTATAGTGTAGAAGTTGTTTGGAAGGTATCTACAGGGAGGTGGCCAGACCAAAACATGGCACAAATCCATGAAGTCACTGACAAGTGGACTGAGTCATGTTAGTAGGTGTAGACTACCTGGTTAGGATTTGCGAGATGATAACAACCGATGGTTAGAAACTGTGAATGACATGGCTCAAAATTGTTTGCAATGGTGCAGGTGCATCCACTCTTTGTGTTCTTCCAAATTCCAATCTTCTGAATTCTTCATGTCCCTTTTTTTATCTTTCCAAGTTTATTTCACTGGATTATACTCTTTGAGTAACATCCGATTACTACTTATACTTTTACTACCTCTACCACTATGGAATTTGAATCGACAGTGGTATCTCTGTGCTAATGTGGTATAGCAACTTGAAATGAAGCTCGTACTTACGAAGTTCTACATTGTTACTGACTGATTGAGCTGGTATAAGAGTAAGTTGTAAGAAAGCCGGAGAAGAAGACAAAATAATACATAGTATCAATCCATGAAGTCATTGACTGTTAGTCTGTACCATTTTGGTAAATGAAAACTATCTGGTTATACAGTTCATGCGGTTATTGTGGTTAATGGTTGAAGACTGTAGGTGATATGACTCAGTATGCTATTTTCCACTGTTCCTACATACATATCTTTCCATTCTGTCTTCTCGAATCATATTGTCAATGTCTTACTCACAACTCTGTTACTAATTTATTCTTTAGCTACTCACCTTATCGTGTTGGTATGGTTTGTCAGTTTGGATTAACGAAGATTTGTGATAGCTCCTACTTTGATTATAACCTGTTATCTCTCGTGGAGGAGCATAGGCCGCTCATCACCACTCTTCGCCTGTGCCTCTTCTAGGGCTACTGCCGGTCTTAAGCTCGTGTAAAGGAAGAGGGTTGGCAACCACATCTCGTAGTAGAATTGTACTAACCAGAAGCCCAAGTTAGCTTTATTGTTATATTTAAAATGTCGATTGATTAAAGGATAAAAGTTAATAGTTTGGTATGGTAGCTGTACGAATTGTGATAGGAATAATTAGAGTAATAAATCAAAGCTATTTTGTGTTCGAATAAGTACACAATAAAGAGTATATTCGAAAGGAAGTAAAAAAAAACGAAATCCACAAGGGCTATGAGAAATAATTATAATGGTGTTACAAATTTTTTTTTATGGGTACAAAGATTTGGGTTGTTAGCTCGAATTCCTATACCTTCTGTTATATGTAAGAAACGAGAAAGAATTCCATAAGGGGAATTATTAAGTATTCAGTATATTACTGTAAAAGATTTAGTTCTGTCTATTACGTGACAGCTACCGACTAAGTGTGGTAGAATTGAACTGAGTTCTACCCATACCCTTTTCCCAACTACTAGATGTTTTAATTAACTCGGTTCAGTTCTATGTTACTATGCTTGTTATAGTTTTCTCCATAGCATCACTTGAATTCTTAGATGCACGTGGATGTAATAAGATTAGTTAACTTATCCTTTAGTTGAGATGATAAATAGAGGACATAAAACTTCTTCACTGCTTGAGTTGGTCTATCAAGTAAGAAATTTTTTTAATGCTTAAATAAGAATTATTAATTTCGATAAGGTAAGATAACATCAATACTGCGTAGTCACATTTACATATATATGTTAGCTTCATTGTCCAAATGCCGAGAGTAAGCGGGGGGGGGAGGTCAGCTCTCCCTCTCGACATGCTCTCATATGGCCACGTGCATACAACCATTGCCACAGAAGTCCGACTTGCGGCTGATAAGTTGTTTACGAAATTGAGGGGACAAAAATCGGGTGTCCGCCTCTCTAACTGGGTTGTTGGATAGGGAGGATTCACCTAGGGGAGTTGAAAAACCCTGATTTCAAACTAATAGTGCACATGGGTTCCAGGATTTCGATGGAACAAATGGCGTGTGAACCTAATTTTGGTCACTGCCTACTATGAGACTGTATCGCCCGACGTTGCTTCACTGCCTTGTGTATTAGACCTTCAAGTCGAAGACTTCGTGTGTGACCCCCTAACAAAACAATCTACTTTGATTTGTGTATCAATGCAGTATCCTAGCCCTTACATAAATCGAATGATTTATGTGGCGTATATCCATTTGATGCCTCCTTATGCCTATGCTTGTGTGTTTAAACAATAAGCTTTAAATGATGATTTATGTATCCTTTCATTATGAGTATTGAAGTTATTCTGATGAGCTTAATAAACAGGGTATAGACAATTCACCATTCATACATCGATTAACAATTGTTAAACATGATCTCGTTTGTTTAGTCCTGTTTTTTATACAGTGTACATCGTCCAATATTGGTAAATAACTACTTAAGCTATGATACCTAATCGACAAAATAAACTATACTATTTCAATTATCATAATAAGTCTGTTATTCACAAGATGATCATTGAAACTTCACATAGTATAATAATATATTCTAGTTGCCTAGATTAGATACCATACTTTTTGTAATGGAAATTACTGTCATATAATAAGAAATGAAGACAAAATTGTATATAGAGTTATTTAACAATAATGTATCAATATAATGGTATAGCAATTATTTCTTCGGATTCATAATTCCATCTAATTGAGCCTAAAAATTAAAAAAATAAATAAACTATTAGGCTACACTTAAGCCATATAAGTGAAATACATAAGATGATCCATATTGTATATAAATCAAATAAAAACATTTCTCAGGAACATTATAACATGAGTAACATCATTCATTATTTAAATTTTTGGAATCAGATTCCCTAAGGGTCACTATGGTATATGCTACTGATGTCGATAGTGCTGTTAGAGGAGGTATGAGGGCGGTTATCACTTCCCGGTTGCCCACACCGTGGAAGGGTTCTGCTGGAGGTACCTGAAAAGTAAGTTGGGTTAGAGGTGGTCATAGTGACTTGAGAGCGTGACCGCAGTGCCCAAGGGACAGCTGCTTGAGGTCGGTCACACACGACCTTTTTATGAGTAACTTTCGTGATAGCTCCGTACCTGTTGAGACCTTACCGCCGGAGACGGATATCCGTGGGATAAGACGAGGTGTGCATTTTTAGGGTCGACCTTTTCTAACCCCACCCCTCCTTTTGGGAAGGCAGCATCGCTGTTATGCTGGTTGTCTGAAGAAAACAGCTTACTGCTGTCACATCCCTGTACATTCAGCAGTACGAATTCGCCTTCGGACCTTGGATTTGTTGTTTTTAGTCTTACTGCTCTTCAACCGACTTGTCTGACATGGTAGGACCTTGAGGAACGGTTGTTCCAGCCAGTATAGCTCAGTTGCTTCATCACGATAGGCAAGCCCGACCACCACGTCAAGGTAGCAACAACGGTCAGGATGTCGATAGATAGAAGTAGTATGTATGATCAATTGAAAGTGAAATACCTAGAGGCAAAAGGTTAAAATGATCGTAAAGAAGAGAACAAGAACAGAGAGTACTTAGTGTGGAAACGAAGGAATAGTTAAGTCTGAGACAACTAATCGATATGTTGTAAATGAAGTATTTACTGTATGATTCTCAGATTTTACACACTTGGCTGTTCTCACTTGTGTTCTTGTTCACTACATGAGCACTATTCGATAAGCAAGTCAATTGACCAACTACTTGATAGGTAACTGATGTATATAAGAATGGCAAAGGCTTAACAAATATTGAAACAATTTTTCTATACTATTAACTACTAATCTGTATAGAGATAATATTTGAATGAAGTGAGTTTCTTTGATATTAAAGAATAGAATATATCATATTCCATTAGTGAAACTTTAAAACAATGATTACATATATTGTTAACTTGCCCCCAAATGCCCTGGTATGGCCGAGAGTGGGGAGATTCCGCTCTCCCTCTCCAAATGCTCTCACATGGCCATGCGTATATAGCCTCTGCCAGGGAAGTCCTACTCACTGCCTTCTCGTGGTGGGGGTGTTGTTTACGAAAATGAGAGGACGAAAAGCGAATGTCCGGAGCTTTAACCGGATCCCAAATCAATGGTGCACATGGGCTAGTTTTAGTATCCTGAAAAAACAAATGGCGTATGAACCAATCGTTGGTCACCGGCTACCATGTGACTGCATCTCCTCACGATGCCCCACTGCCTCGTGGGTTAGACGTTCAGGTCGAAGGCTCTGGGTGTGGCCCCCTAAGAAAACCACCTGTTTCGGTTTGGGCTCTCGGACAGTATCACAGCTCTCACACG